AAAGTAAATAGTCAATATCCCTCCTCATAATGTTTATCGCAGTGCGCTTATGAGTTCGCTTCTTTTAGCTGTAATATTTTAAGTCGATTCATTAATCGCAGTATCTGACGAGTGCATACATGAATTCATTTGCGAGTCATTGACATAATTGCAGATTCTTCAGTGGACGTTTCAACATTTTAAACAAAATTTTTGTGCAATTATATTGTTTCTCAGATTAATGTTTGCTACGTATTTCGAGAATTTTAGCTTGTGTTGATCAACCGTCAACCTAGTTACATGTCAGATTTATGATCATCTTGTTGATGTGGTGCTTGGTTGCTTCGAATGGCTCCAGTGGTGAATATTTGTTGTATTTTTGAGGTGATCGACGAGGATATGAATCAAGCCAGTGGTCTTTTCGTAGTCGAAGCATTCATACCGATCATTGAAAGTTTCTCGTTTTGTGAGCAGTTACGGAAACGCACTAGTGGAATGGCGTCTGGGCAGTTGGAATTCTCACATTGGGAGGTACTTGATGAAGATCCGTTGTGGGAACCAACCACTGAAGATGAGGCAAGTATTATTGTTTTGCGTTTGTGTTCAATTTTCTTTTGTATATTTTTTCTTTTTAAAATTTTCTCAATATTTTATTACTTTGCTGTTGAACCATTGCCAAATAAAACCTATCTTTATAATGTTTTCCTGGTTTGAAGTGTATGCTGATACTTTTTATCTCAAGTTATTGGCCACTTGTTTTTGAGCGATCATGGCTTTCGTGTGCAGATTTTTGCGATAATACTTTTGGGAGGGATGGTTATGTGAGAATGTATGTTTTTATGATGACGATGATTTTAAAGGTTGAACTATATGGTGTGAAGGGCGATAGCGTGAATCGTTCACGGACTTATATGGATGCTTTACGGAAGCGGAAAGGCTTAATGACAGACGAGCTTATTGTTGTAAATGCTGAGAAGCAACGTAATTTGAAGAGAAATAAATAGTGCGATCGTTATTGTTGTCTTATTAAGACTTTCGTGGTGTTGTTCATTTACTTACTTTGCTCTCATAATTGTTATTGTTTTTGTTGTTGTTATCCTTTGAATTCATTAAAGGCTTATCTCATACTTATTTTTGGTCACGTCATTTCTTATTCACTTGCCTATGATGTCGTCGGGTCCGATTGAATTGTGACAAGCATTCGCCCTCCTTCCTCTGGAATGTCAAGAAAGGTTTTGTGTCGCCATTATGTGATTTATTTGTTAACACTTAATGCTGTCGATTTGTGTGATGTGGGCACGAAAAAAAAAGTCTGGAACGAAATTTTGCAATCGAAGACCTCGAAAATGCGGTCGACTCAAAAAACTCGGGGACGGGGTCTCCGAAAGTCCTTGATCCCCACACTACACTACAGTCGATCATAGCTTGACATTTTAATCTGGTATCGATTTGTTATAAGTGAGACGAACTGTTGCGATGTGATCGAGGACATTGCGGTCGAACACTTTATTCAAAATAAATCTGAATTTATTCAAAATTCGAACAGTCAAAAAAAACAGTTTATTCAAAGTCAAGAAGGACGAGGTTAAGGCATTTTCGAGATGAAACGACACATTAATTGGTGTTTGGTGGTATTTTTGCTTTATTTTTCTATATCGAAGAAAATAAATCTAAGAAGCATTCAGGTGGGCTGATCATAAGGAATTGTCATTGCCTGAGTGTATTATGTTGATGATTGGTTTAACTGAGAAGAGGTTGTTTCATTCGGTTACGTGGTAATGACATGACAAGGTAGGTTCGAGTTTCATATATGCATATGATTGTTTGATGGCGAACAAAACGAAAAAAAATGGAAGTAGCAATGAAATGTTTACGATTCTGTTGGGTTTCCTTTTTGAACATTGATTTGAACATAGCATTACGTAATTCCTATATGGAAATGATAATTTCTTTAGGATAATTCAGAATTGTTAGATTTGTACTTCACATAGATCTAAAGTAATACATACTATGATATTGTTGATTTTCTGATTTTATGTACAATAATAATAACAAATATACATCAAGCATACTGAAATGGAATTGAAATCGACTAGTACATCCGAATATGTTACAAAATATCGACAACGAAAGCAGTTACTCACAATTAGATTAAATTTCGTTTTTACAAATTCGTGCTGGCCTCAAAGTAACATGTAGTGAACGTGAGCGACTGAGTAATACTCTGTACATAAATGCGTTTCAGAACAACAATGGGATGGATCGTCAGGAAGGATTGAATGCATGCAGTGTGTTTATTGTACAAATATGCGCTTTCTGCTTACGCGATTTTTGCCTTCGCCAACATACATAAGCACTGATGAGACCAACATTAAGACCTACGCATAAAACAGCGACTATAATCACCAATGCTATCACCCAAATGGATGTGTATTCCGGTCGAAGAACGTCGCTTGTGAAACTTTTATGCACAGAAGTTGTCTCAATGGGTGCAGTGGCCACTGTTGATGCCTGAAAAACGGTGTGTTTCTTTCAATTGGTGTCACTTAACGCAATCAGTTGGTGAGGTGATCTTCAAAGAGAACTCATTTTGTTCATTCGTTTATGACGATCAAGCAATTCAAAAACTGAATGAAATTAACAATCGTTGATCCTCTTTCAGACAGTTGTTTGTATCTGAATGAATTCATTACACTTTTAAGGTGATTTCGTGCAAAAGTCATTCATGAAACACAAAAAAACCCATAATGAGTGAACGAATTCAATTTGTATTCAAAACAACAATAACATTGCCTAAATTTTCTCCGAAATACAGTTCACTTTTTATTCATTCATTCAAATCATTCATTCACTTGTAGAACTTTGATAAAGGTGGACGGACGTATTCGTTCACATCGATCATTTTGATATACATTAATTCAGTTGCTCAATGACGATTTCAAAGAATTGTTCAGATTTCGTCTGCTCACCCACGTGAAAAAAACTTATGAAAAACTTATGGATACGACATAAATATGATTCACTCTTTCCTTCCAACTGAATGAAAATTTTAAATCTCACTGGACATGCGATATCATCGCGAGGTAGATGTGTACTTTAATTTTACGAGAATAATTTTTTGCACCTAAGCAATAGGTATGATCAGTTACAAAAGTTCTCGTCAAAAGCTGCTTTTCATGATGGGAAACTAACAAAATCACTCACCCGTCCATCACGCGAAATCAGAACCGATACGACACCTTCAGTCAACACTGACTTATCATTCAGCTGACATTCCGGATTGCACCTAACCAGCATGCAGTTTGGCTCGTCTCTCTTCTCTTCTAACACACCCATAAACGTCACTGCTTGGCAGTCTGAAAGACGTTTTCGATGCTATTCATTGCGATTGCTCACAAATCTTCATTAGGTGTTTGTTTTCGATTGCACAGCATTGAATATATTTGCAGGTGCATCCAACTGTTGTTAATGAAAGATCTGTTCAATTCGATGCATTTAGAGGACGTGGAGAAGGAATTGAATTACTGTTTCAATTTAGTGATTCATACTCGTGCTTTTTACTTGTAAAGGAGTCTAGGTAAAAAAAAAAGGACGATAAATCATGCCTTTCAACATTGTCACGGCAACACACTGAGTAATGGTAGCCTGAACAAATTCTGATTCAGTCAAAAACTGACCTAAACGATCGGTAACAGAACAAGTTTGTTTTCAGTTTTTAGCGATTTCGGTTGCTCATCATTAGTTTCGTTCGATCAACATCGCTAAAACTTACAACTGCTCCAATTTTTATCGATTCGCCCTAATTGCAGACACATACACTTGCCTTGGTAGAAATCGAATGATCCAAATAATGAGAAGTAATAACCACTATAGAAATGACATTCTTTTGTATATTTTGTAGAATATTGCCAATCAAACCAATTATAATAAGATTTTCGCGATGTAAGAAGAAAAAACGAATTGCGATGTCGAATTTTTTTAAATATGAAAGCGAATGCGTGGGAGATAGAGTAAAGAGATCATTGTCATGGCAAGGAGAGAAGAAAGGTGGAACTTCAGTAATACGCTTGTAGGGAAGGTAGACATGAACTGCATAGTACCATACGCAGACGAGTTCACTCTTCACTTTCAACTAAAAGTGTTTGCTAATGAAAGCATCTTATTCGATGAAATTCTAAAATAAGTTTTATTTAAAGAATAAAAATTTTAGTAGTAGGGTGATGATATGACCTTGAAGCGGGTCTCATATGGTTACGTTAGTGAATAATCTATTCATTACTTATATGCATATTCAACCTGTTGTTTCATATTATCATTCTAACCTTATTTATGCATTCTTACAAATCTGCCTCATGACACAATTCTTTCACGCCTCACAGCATTGCCTTTCATTTATCTTATACCTATAAAGATTGTTCAGCATGTCTACAGATCTCATATTTATGACTGCGTTGTGCGTATATCCATTTGTACAATAGGACTGGGTGGTGTAGAAGGCAAGCTGTTTCATTTTTTTCCACAGACCTGCTCATCATCTTCAAAGTGTAAATGAAGATACAGGAATACATAGATTAAGAATAGTTTTGCATGGCATTATCACGTTCCTGGTCACTGCATTCCGGTATGCATCAAAAATCTTAAATTTTTTTCTAATGCAGTCCTAAATTGATGCTATTTCCATTCAAAATTATCCTGCCACTGATTCTAAATGTTGAACAGCAATAATATTCTGAGAGAATTGAGTAGGCTCTATTTGTTTCAACAATAACTCGATTAGCTCTCTAGAACAATCGTTGGAAAATGAGTTTTGTTGATGACGAACGTTATGATGAGCAAAAACTACCTTATCAAGGAAAAATCATCAGCAAACTAAAAGATCAGTATAAGAATAGAAGTGCTATAAATTCTCCTCTCATTTATCCACATGGTTGCCTAAAAGAATTTGCTATTTAAAATGAGTTTTTAGAACTGAAATAGATTAATTTTATTCCTATTGTTTCAGCTATCGATTTCAAACGAGGATCAATCCTATTGAAATGCATAAACTAGTTTGACTTCACTTAGTCGTTATCCATGGTATGTCGCATCAAAACTTATGTTCTATATAGCATTAAACACTAAAAAAAGTCTTCAAGTGAGGCAATATCCAATTGAACACTTATCCTCAGCAACAAAACCTGTGTATCGATATCTAATCCTAATGCCACTCTGTTCACCAACAAGGGCACTCTTAATTGTTTTAATATCGATGTGTTTTTAAGGAAAATGATTCAATTTTGAAGCGTTTCGAATTATGCTTTTAGCAATCGCTTGCAATCTACTTTTGATGTCATTCGCAGACTGTTTCTCTTAGCACCGTTCAGCACAAAACTCTAATGTATTTTTGTGAAATTATTTCTAATGACTACCGTACATGAAATAAATAATTGTTCACTAAACATGATAATGTATTTATAAATCAATGACCAAAAACAAATGGAATAATTCCATTAAATAACGCATTGAATAACGTTCAACCGGCTTTTCTCTCCTAACATCAATCATGATAACGTTAACGTTTACCTAACTTAAGTGTGACCCTCGTATCAACGAATTAATGGCTCAAAATAAAATCATTGAATTTGGTATAACAAGAGCAATTTTTCCAGAAACTAGGATTTAATTCACAATAATGTTTGAAAAAGTCTGCTCATAAAAAATATTAACAGGTCATCAATAAGTTCTTATCCGATGAGACATAACAATAGCTTATAAACTGAAATTTATAAACTGAAAATAACTTATAAACTAAATAATACAACAATGTCCAATAAATATCAAAACTGAAGTAACTTTGCCATCATTCTTATTCTGCTGGATGTTATCTAAAATTAGTGTTCGCTATAACAAGAAATTCAAAGGATTTAACCATTCGACCTTCATTAGGCTTTTTTCAACAATACTTTAGAGTGACGGCAAAATTGGGTGAATTCGATCAAAACAAATCATTTTTAGTGATCCATTAGAATAGTTAAATTGATCATTGAATCCAATTAACCTCAAGTGGATGACTACTTACGTATGGATTAAAAATAACGTAAAATGGATTTTTTTCACCACAAAGAGGACACTATAGATTCAGTTTTGATTGTATAGATTCAACTTCAGCTTCAAATAATCATTTGCTTATTACTAAAACAATGCTGAATTGACTCGCCAGCAAATATCGTTTGTGAACATTCATGTTCATTAAAATTTAAATTGGAATTGAGCACTCATGAATGATCATTTTATTTGTGAAATTTTCTGTTCTTCAGGAGACTTGAAACTTCAAAAATGTATTCTTTTTTAACTGCCTTGAGAGAGCAGCAATTGAAAACTTCCAAAACCACTGACAAAACAACCTTTTGAGTGGACTGTCTTGCTGGATTGATTCTTTAAAAATGGTGATTGTATGTTTTGAATGAATAACTTGTAAAGCACAATCAATGTATCATGCATTCTTTGAAATTTCAAGTGTAACGCATCAAAACATTTTCCATTTCAGCTACAATGCAAAATGCTTATTACAGTATGCAAACGCTGTTGCAGATAGCAATATTATGTATTCATAATATGCTTGAATGATCCCAAGCAGTGAGCTACGATCACGCAAATAAAATGTTCTACGGTCAGATCAATCAAACGTTAGCTTTACTGCATGCTAAGGTTAATTAATACATATGTGACTGAATGACCTTTTTAGATTTGAAGCAGCATAATGCGCTTTGGCTACCTAATCGAGAAGCAGGCATGAGTAAATTGCCATATGAAGGTTCAAGAAACGTGACTGCTCTATTTCATATTCAAATTGTTAGATGCATTGGATGAAATAATATAATTGGAAAAGATATTAATTACTCGAATAAGGACAGAAATCAAGGTCAACAAACAATATGGATGGCATGATTTGATTGAAAAGTGAATAGGAATTTATGAACTGACCATTTGAACTGCAACACAATCCAAGACATTCTTTCAGATCGTTGGTTTTACTTGAGGAAATTGCGATGGCTTGTTGATTAAACCACTGTTGTTTATAAACTTGAAGTTGACCACAGAAAACGTCATTAGCAGATGATAATGGAATGAAACACAAGACGAGACGAAATATGCAGATTAACATAACTTATTGTTGCTAGATAGGAACAGCACTCGTATAATAGCGCTGCTGACACTCATCCGACGAGTGCTTCGCTGAGGCGGTTGATCGTTTGCGCTTGAAAGCCTTTCTGAAAAGACTCTTTACTCTCCCTCCTCTCAGAGTGAACGCATTTGGGTGGAAGATTGATACGCGTCGCCTTACCTCGTCCTTGCCTCGCCTCGCACCTGCACAACATAATCAAACCAACCAACCAACCATCCAGTCCAGCCCACTTTATTCAGCACCAACCTTCTTATGAATCAAAACGATTTTAATACTCCTATATGTATAATCTGCGATACATTCTTAACAATCACTCTGAATGAATGTTAGCTCTACGCTGTTGGCTATAGCGTATGGTTTAGCTTATGAACACTGCAACCTTGACAACACATTGTATCCAGCAACACATTGCGATAAATCGTCATTTTATTTGGGAGAATCGTTTTACTCTTGAAACAGCACCGTTATCGTCACGGCTGTATAGTCAAAAGGTTTTCGTTTCAGTGTTGAGAATCGTTATGAGAGTGATCAATGATTACATTATCACGTAATTAAATATCATTTCATAATCTGCAATGAATCTGTTTGAAGGCGAAATGTGTTTTCTCGATTCATAAATTCAATAAATAGAGTTCTTCAGTGCCTCTCAAAGATATCAGTAAACTACCCCTTTTCAGAATTGCTTTGCAGTTTCTCAATTTGATCCACATTCTAACGTTTTCATTCCTTTTTTGTTACATGAAACCGCATTTTGTTAAGAGGTTGACTTTGTTTGGCGTTCCACTGAAATGAAGTTATAATGGATGTAAGCAGTGGGATTTGAAATTAAGAAGAGAAATAATGTCGAAGTCTCATTCAACATATACGGCTCATGTTTACATCTCATCTCATATGTAAATATAGCTAATATTTCACTAGCACTAAAGCAACTACTTTCTTTATCGCAATCAACACAGTTGACTTCCTTATTGATCGAGTTCCATACAAATTCATTTTGACATAACTTTCTTGCAATGCTTCACTGGTGAACAAATAATTTATCATCAAATTGTTGAGTTGATCATCGAAATATTCGACAATACCATTGATGTGCATCACATTAGAGATTGTGTAAAATTTAATGCAAGATTTTAAGACGAAACGGTCAGTTATTATGACAACGCTGTTGTGTGCAAAGTCGCCCGCCGTAAGCGGATTACAAACGCGGACACTGCAAAACAATTAGGAATAAAGGAATTTGTTTACGGCTAACCACATGTGTAGGGAGAGACGTTGACGTAATGGTAAAGGTTAGGTAGCCGAATAAAGAGTCATTCGAGCGATTAAACGCGCAGTTGAAGGTGTATTTGGAAAGATCTATTTATGAATCTATCATATTTATGAATATCTCACAAGATAATATAATTTAAACTGCAGCTATCATTTTCTATGATTGCTCGCACTGAGCACATTTGTGACATTTTTCTAACTGAACTCATAACCAGAAGTGAGCATTCACAAAATCTGATTCAGCCATAATTATTGTACTATTGAAAAGCTGATAGTCTTATGAAAATTCAATGAAGCTTGTTAATGCTTATAGCGATCTCATCGAATAATGTATTTCTAATGATATGCATTCTCATATTTCACAAACCAAATCGGGCAGGTTATTCTGATAAATGATACTGGATCATATATTTTGCAAGCAGAAAAACACTTGAAAAGTTCATCACATCATTCATCAATGAAACGCTGTGCAATACGAGAAGTAATTTATTCATTATGCAAGTGGAGGGAGTAAATTTCAGAGATGTAATCCGTGAAAAAAATTAGCATTTATTTTATTTAGCTATTTATTTATATGTTTATTTATTTAAGGCACATAATATTATGCATCTATATGAAGACAAACCGGTTTTACTTTATAATGAGCTGATTTCACGAATTGTTAAAGAGAAATCTCTTTAGAGGCACAATTTAAGAATAACGTGCATGTACAATAGATTGCAATAAATTAAACAATGGAATGAAACTGGGAATGTTAGGCACAAAATAACCCGAATATGAGCATATCGCAACCAACTCTGGGATCTTATTCAAATTTTGATCAATTTCATACTTGATTGTTACTTTGACAGAAAAATAAATGCATAACAAAAGTAATATGTCCCAGAATTAGTTGAGATGCGGTTTTTATTTCACTAAACAAGATTCGAAAGAGCAATTTCGATGATTAGAAAATATTAAACAAGCAAGAAATAATTAATGATGGAAGTTCTGGGAGACGAAGAATGACGTAGATGAAAAGCATTGATAATAAATATAAATAACAGCTAGTTGATAACTATAGCTGAATCTAAAACAACTTTAATGGTACTCTATTGGAATCATTCAACTTCAACTGCTCGTCTTCTTGAGCGATAAATCGAGAGGTTCAGTTTGTGGCAATACATGATTCTCGTTATCAGTTACATCAGAATCTATAGCTGATAAGAACTGCTGCTTTATCAACGCATCTTGACAAATCCACACCGGCAATGACCAGAATGGAAGTGGCACTGGCTTTGCTAGTGGTAGGGGTGGTGACGTTTGTGGAGTTGCATTCGAAATACCAGCTTTCTCTTGCGCGTCCAGCACCGACGATACTTTGAAGTATTTCGAACGACGTCCATATCTTGAATCTGATAAAAAATTTTCAATGTCTAGGATTGAATGCAAGTTTGCTCAATCCGGAAGAGAAAAAAAANAAAAAAAAGTCGATCTACTGTAGACACTGCACATGAAAATATATGTAGATGTTGACTGAATTTCAAATGTGTTTTCAATAAGCTAATGAAGTGCTTGCACAAACGTTTTTATAGTGATAAATTCCATGCGTAGAAGCTATTCTGTGGCACACATCAATCATCTCTAAACTTATCTCATCAAAACGAATTGAACCGTTCTTTGTATGAATATGAGTGGGATCATGAGTTGATATCTAATTTTCACTTGTGATCACATTAAATGTCTTACTTTGTGGCGCCATTCCTACCGCAATGCACTTGTTGAATCGGCAGCACTTACATGATGTTCGATTTCTTCCCTAAAAGATGGAGTTTTTAGCAAGAAAGAGAAACCGATCAAACAAGAGGCTGCATCGGACAGCGATGATGATGTGTCGTTAAGCGCTCGTGTCAAAGAGGGCTCTGCCGAGAACCACAAAAGTGAGGATGACAACGATAGTCGCTCATCTGAAGTGAACTTCAGCGTCCCCTCATCTTCTTCAAAAATCAGAATGCATTGGAATTATCTATGGATTGTTTCTTGATCATGTTTATTGATCAAATTCGCTTTTTTTTAAAGTTAGATATTTTTCGAAATACTTGGTGAACTTAACATGGCCTGGAATAGTAACGTGAATACATAGCTAAAAAATAGACTTTTTGCTTTCAGTGACGTTGTCATTCGAAGCAGACTTCGCAATTTTTGAAACATTCGGATGGTGAATGATTCATTCGCTTCGTATCATGTTGGCATGAGAAGTTAAGTTGTTCGGAAAGATATTGAAGTTCAACTCACACACCAACCAAACTGACGCTACCTGGTAGGAAAACAAACCTGAACGTTACAGTTGCCACCGTTTTTGCATTGTAATTTAATTTTAGACAACAGAGCTGCACCACCATGCTCACCATGTCGTTCGCCATCATTCTTCGATGGTTTACAAGTCCGACCGAAAAATGACTGCAATCATCACAATGCTTTTCAATTTTCGTTTCTTATTTCTGAGCAATCTTTGATGTCTAGCCGGTTTATACTTCTCGAATTTTACAATGCCATCCAACTATCATATCTTTGGTGCGTTCACTACTCTGCACAAAAACTTTAAATATGATTTATTTGTAGAACTATGTATATTGTCGATTGAATCTCTTATCGAAACAACACTGATTGTTTAAAGTTTTCATTTTTTCGTTGAAATGATTTGATAATTCATTAAACTGTAACCGTAATTCTATCATATGCTTATTACGAGGCGTATTACAAGTTACATTACATCAAAACATCTATATTCGGCTTATGGTATGCATACACTGGTTCGTACGTGTGAGAAATAAACGAATAATCATATTGCATCTGTCTGCGAAGAGGAGTGAGTAAATGAATGAAAAACGAGAGAATGAATGCTCTGCTCTGGTTCGGTATGAGCGATCAAATAAGATTCACTATGTTATGAAGTACAGTGACGATGATGCTGCAGTCATTGTAAAAGAACAACGAAAATCAAACGTTGAAACAACACATTGAAAGTACGTCCCCTATGAAATGTGATAATGCTAAGTAATATACTAATACACTGTACAACAATATTATCACTGTACTGATTTCATGAAGAGAAAATAAATCGAGAGCGATTACAGAAACGGGTCTATATATTTGTGTGTTGCTGTATGTGTGCTGTCTGCACAAATTCAGGTTTTCTGAATAATATCAGCTAAAAATTCCGTATTGTATCAAATACCGCTTGATGAAAACGACTCGAGATATGCTAAGCTCAGTTTTTACTTCTTGCACAAGCCTGACGAACTTAGGTGAGAAGTTTATACGTGCCCAGAGACATACAGTAGGCCTGAACAGAGAGTGCCCATTTTGTGATTTTTGTTAAACGTCTTGATCATAGGCTGAACAACAAAATAATGATTTCTGCTTATAATTGAATTGACGAAATGCATCAAAATATGCGAAAAGTCTCTCACTTTACATCCTTCGCAGGTGAATGCGCCAAAATGATATCCACGCGCGATTTCGTTGCATACTTGACACATAAACGTCATCTGAATACAATACAGGTTGAGGTGTTTCGGTCAAAGACAAAACTGCATAAATTTTCGCAGTAGGAGGAGGTGATGGGAATTGTGTGTGAGACGATCATTGTCTGAACTCATTGAGTAGTCAAATATGATGGGAATGAATGAAAACGCACTATAAACTTGCTTACCGGTTGAGTCATGGGGTTTGCGACGTGACACTGTTTTGGGAAGCGAACTGTATAATGAAAGTGAAATGAGAATTAATTGCGTGTACGTACCTGTGAGGCGGAGAGACCGGTCTGCAACATCCTTATTGCCGTTTCTTGACACTCTTCGCTGAAAACACGTCAATAGTAACCCTCAATTAGAGCAAAATATCAGCACTGTTCTAACTTCAGTAAACCATCACTTTCAATATTGTTCATCGGTCAATCGCAGCGCTTTGCTTTTGCACTTATGTTACTCATATTACGCACGTTAATCACAATCAAAAACTACCTTGCGATTGTTGTTTTCTATGAGTTATTTCTTCATTGCATGTGAATGTTCCATATTTTGTGCATCGAAAGAACTCAGTGCAAAATGAACGTCAGTTAGTTTTCTATTCACAACCAAAGCAATTCTCGGTCAACTTCACATTCTCATCACGAATAAATAAACAATCAAATAGCAGCACCATTTGCTGTTATCTGAATGATCTCATCATGAGACACCGATCTAATTCATCACTGAGTATGAATACAAACAAATAATACGCTTTCTGATTCGTTGCCTCATTATTGTACTCGACGACCAACTATTTCAACTGAACTTGATGCAGTTTCTTCAACCATAAATTTTATATGCTGTTTGAGTTAGATAGTGTGATTGACATATAGTTAGTGAGCGAAGCTTATGAACTCTCGTGCTAGTCAAACCTGTCATGAATAGAACAATTTTGATGGCAGTTTTAAAGGAATCAACTCTGTGATAATAGCGAAGGTAATGTTACAGTGCTTCGTTGTGCTGAAGTATATGCACCAAAGCGTATACTCTTGTTTAGTGCTTCTAATCTTATACCTTTATCATTGCGGTTGACTAGGCAAATTCATTAGGCTGTCACTCTTTCCATTATACCCATTCAATGTTCAATATTCTAATGTCTTTTTTTTAGTATTTCATAATTTTTCCGAGCGATAGGTCGTTAAATTTAGCAACGTTAGATACTGGCCATCGTTAAAAAAGATGAGAAAATTTATTAATTTCAATATGATATTATTTGAATTGTGAAGGATTGTCATATGAAGATACGAAAACAACAATCATTAATTACACTATGATCGAATAGTATTTCAATAATCACGAACAGTATTTCAATTCGATATGATTCTTCTTATTGCAATATGACAAATAGTGCATCAATAAAAATTTGCATCGAACCATTCATATGAACACAAAATTTATATAAAAGCATACAAGCAATTTTGGAAAATGCTATTCTATGAGTAATCATTGATAACGTCGAAGAAACTTCCTTTACATGCTGAACGAATTAAATCATGTATGGAGATAAGGTGAAAGGGAAGACCTCAACTGAACTGTTCATAGATATGTGATGAGGCGTAGAAAAATGCGCTTGAGATGAGAAACTATGAATGTATTGGAGAATGGTTGATTGAGCAGAATGATAATTGCTCGTTGGATAGATGGATCGATGTGCATTTTACGAATTTTGCAGGCAAATAGCTGTTGTTAGGTACATAAACTCAAATAGAACGTCTGAGAAAATAACTGAGATTGATTTGGGAAGGTCATTTTTGAATATTCTTTTGTGGTTTCATCGATTCGTTTTTATTAATAATTCACATTATCACTCACTTTACATCAATTACTGTTGTTATGCTCGTTTGTAACTTAATCGTTTCAAATAATTTTCTTATTCAGCTCATCTCTATCCTTCCAGATAAACATCCATTTATCAAATTAACTATGAAAGTTGTACAGAACTTAATGATGATAATATTAATAATAAAGAACAAGAGAGTATTGCTACAGAATGGTCGTAAAATGGTATTTAGAACATAAAAGTGATTAAGACTCTACGTTGTGCTAGTTTACAGTTGATATTGGGATTGTACTGTTGCGATAATGAATGATAGTTTTTTGCCTCTGAAAACTTGATAATTTTCGAATAAGATACATATACATGTAGGTGTGTGAATGCAACTAAAGTTTCGAATTTGCTTGAATGCGATTGGTGCACTCAAAGTCACTGGCTAAAAGCTGGAATAGTGAACAGTCTGCGAAGAGCACGACTACGAAAGCATTTCGCAAAATGACGTCTTGACGTGATCTGTTCAGCGTTCAGCGATCTTTTATCGTTAAGTTGATAGGCATTGAATTTGAAGTATTGTTGACCAATGTGAGAACATAACGACGTTTCATTGTGATGTCCACTGCGCAGTGCACATAATAATTCATGACGGCACTTTCCTTCGCATGTGTAATCGTCACGACGAACGCTGTTCCTTCAAGTATGGAAACACTAATGCTTATTGCCTTACAAAGTTTTTGCTTAAAAAGCTTCAGAGTATCTGACGCAAGATTCTGCTTCTTCGATACCAAAGTATTTGTGCGAATCGCTGTTAAGACTGAATAAAAATGTTCGTTTAGAAAAAAAAAACGAACTTGAGGAACTTATTGAATATTGACGGCTCCAAATCTATCCTGCTAATCAGTCGATTCCAACTCGACGGGCTTAAATCGACCAAATTGTATTCAGTCTGGAAACGGCCAGCTTTTTATAACAGATAATTTGCCATAACTTTTTAGTTACGAGAAAGCACGTAGAATGAAACAATTCTACTTGAGATCTCAATTCTTCTGGTATTCGTTTAAAAGTCAACGTGATGAACTAATTATTAGAGATTTCTGACCGTCAAACAAAAAGCATTTTTAACCAAAGAGAGCTCTAAATGTTTTCAGTTTTGATAAATAACCGCTTATGTTCCAATTCTGCTCGACATTTTCACTATAGAATAAAGGCAAAGTGCAGAAAGCTGACAACAAAGTGAAATGAAGGGTTCAAATAGCTGTGATGAATTTTCATGATCGAATGATTCAAAATGGCGAGAAATGTTGCATCTGAATGAGCATAGTTGTTAGAATGGATTGACCTTTGCTTAGTCAACCATAACAACCTTTTGCTAGATAGATCATTACCCTACTACATAGGAAATAAATCATTCGGAGAAACAAGGCACATAATCCATCATCAGATCGCCCTCAGGTAATTCAAGTTAGTATTTCACTGAAGTTTCGTTGATCCTTTTCCTGTAACCGTACTGCTCAGTCCATCAAAACTGTGTAGAAAGCAAAAACTGAGGATACCTTTGCGGTATAAAGAAGTTCCCATTCCGGGTCACGCTTTGCAGATGTTTTTGATAAGTTAAGGAAGTAGGTGCTGTAGTCAACAACGCGCTGAAAATTTATCAAAACCATTCAAAATAATAACTGGAGATTAAAAAAATTTTTATCTCCTTGCAGAAAAGGTTCCATAAGCGTTAGAGATATGCGGAGAAACTGCATTATCAAGAAACTGTAAAATTTGCTAATATGTCATAATTTTTGTGAAGTACAATGAAATGACTTTGGCTTATGAAACTTATTAACATGTTGAAAATAATTTCTCTATGTTCTTGATGATGATTATAAATCATTTAAGATTACATATTGCATTCCAGCTTCAACTTCGTAGATACGAAACGCCGGATTCAAACCACTGAATGTTGTTACACTTGGTGATGCAAATAGCACATTTGTTGGTAATGTTGCATCATCGTTTAAATCTTCGAAGAAAACGGTGAAACTATCAATATGAATATGGCCGAAGAATTGTGCTTTAATTGTCTCAGCAAACCTTGAATCGACTTTTAAATTAATATCTCAGATTAAGAGGTCACTTAAGATGCCAGTCGCAGAGAATATATGCAGCAGATAATGTAAGCGATCTTTCTCACTTAAATTCACACCGTAAACCTTTGTTTTCATCTGTAAAATACGACCATGTGAAAGTATTATAAGAACTGAAAGGCTCTACACAATATGAATTATGAAATATCCTGAAAAAATAACTTCATTCAAAACGCACAGTATTTTTTGTTCAGAATTTCGTTCTGGAAATGTTTATCCGTTACCAGTTAGCCACCTACATCTTCAAACAGGACTCTTTTTTTTNTTTTTTTTACGAAGATTTCAATCAAAAATTCAAACCACTGAATGATCAGAGTTCAACATATTCTTAATTATGTACGACTTCTTTTCAAACCATCCTGTTAGAGTAGAAAAAGAAGTCATTATTAATGATTACATCGTTCCACTGGACGGGGTACTCACAAGCCCATGAGCATAAGCAATGAGCAGTGTTTGTTCACGAGAGTGAGCATTAAGCGAGCGATCGCAAATAAATGTTTGTCATGAGCAATGAGCGAGCCACTCTCACGACGAACGGTCACGAACGTTTCAGAATGAGATACATACCATATTGTAGACCTCCTCAAGCTGATCACGAATTTATAAAAAAATTTTTGCGAAACACAAGGGGGACGCGAGATATGGCGAGAAAAAGGTTTTCAGTGTATTAAACTGAAGTTCTGAATTCCCATCTGGCAGCGGCGTCTTCGTCTAGTGGATAGTGCGATAGCACCAAGTATGCATATGCTCAAGGAGGTTTACAATATGGTATATATCTCATTCTGAAACGCGGGGGTAAGTTCGTGACCTTTCCTTGTCAGTAGTCAGTAAATTCGTTAATAAGCAGCTCAAAAATTCATGGGCACTGATTGTGAGTGAGCAGTATTTTTTTTTTTCAAGAAAACTCCATCACTGCTTCGAATCAGTGTAACAACTCTTTGATAATGGTCTATACTCTCATTTCCTAATAGGTCAAACATCTCTGACCTAGGCATAAAGGATGAGGATAAAAGCATCGTACAGTGCTCATACAGGAAACGATTTCGTAAAGAGATGCAGTGATGTTCCAGCATAGAAATTCGAAGGAATTATCCCACCTGTTGACAATCAAATAATAATTTCTTGCCCATCCTTCCAGACATTCACTATTTCCAGGAGGAATATGTGATAGAATATGAACGTATTGCCCATCATTCTCAGCTCGAATCAGTTCATTTACCAACCATGACAGTGTACCATCTGGATCTGTTTCGTTTATGTACAACCAACTAAGAAGTAAACTTCGATAACTTTCAACGAATGTAAAATTGAGCATGTTTACTGGTAAAAGCCCACCGTACCCTGTCATCGCTGACGTATTTGCTGCATTGCAATTTTGTCTTTACTCGATTTTTGAGCAATTTCTCCCATAATTTCGAAAGGTAGGTTACTTCAGTATGTTATTTTGTACTGATAAAATGCTAATCGCAACAGCTGTTCAGAGTTTAAAAGGGAAGTTTTTACGAACAAATTCGTTGTTTCGCAATAACCGGTATTCAGCGAAATAAGTCGTAGTCCATCAAAGAGTTGAACGGTGAATGAACCTCTGCTGAAAATTTGCATACACTTTTGAATGTTCATAACAAAAGGATTGATATTCGATAATGATCTGAAATATCTATGTGGAACTGGAAGAAAATATCTGATAAATAAAAAACACAAGGAAATACAAACGTAAATGAGTTAAAATGCTACTTGAACGCTCGCAGAATTACGATTCAAAAAAACTTACTAACTGATACTCTTTAGCGCTGTTTTATCCACCCAACGTCGTTGTGATTTTTGAAGCTGGTTGTATAGCCACTGAGGTTGAAACCTCTCGGGTATGAAGTGAGGTGCGAAACTGGATATAACCATAAGTTATTCTACTGCACTTGTTGAGCAAAATTTAATGTGTTGTGATATTAACTGATAAAAGTGTTTTATGCTTTGACGTGCATCATTGACTCCTTGTTTCGGTCATTAGGAAAGCATGAGGGCGCAAAGTAGTACTCAACCTGTTCACAGGAACACCTTCGTGATTTCCAAGTGTCCAGTAAATTGGAGTCTCCGGAAAATATTCATCAAGAGTTGCGGTTAAATTGATAAGTATATCTAAGTGATCTTTTTTCGTGTAAGCCCAATCCAGATGTGACATATAATCTCCAGAAAGCATGATGTAATCGAACTGAAAGCATAAACAGAAAGAATGATGCAACTGAAAAACATCTGAGTCATCATTTAATTCCATATTATTGACCTATTCACTAGGAAGTAAATAATGGAATGGCTTGAGAAAATCGACATCTTAAAAAAATCATCAAATTTGTATCCAATCAAGAATATTGATTTTATCGTATGATCATACTTTTTGTGTTTCATTTAAATGTTGAAGCATATGACGGATGGTCCAGTATGGCACATCGCAGCTCGCTTGAGTTCCCCAGTAACCAGCCTCATTCTTTTTCGATCCTTAATAAACATAATGAGTAAATGAAATTTGATGGATAAAAATACGGATATAACGGTGTAATTCGAACATTCAACTCTATTCCATGACATCCAACATAACCAATTGAATCATTCATAAAACAGAACCCCGAAACAGATGCGTTTTTCAAATTTACATAAGGTTCGTACTAAACCAGATGCAGATGGACAACAAAAATTCGTTTACAACACAGACATGCTGCGATTAATATTTAAGCAAATAAAAATCCATGAATATGTGAACAACCTGCCAAGGAAAACTCTAATGCTGAAACGATACTCAACAACAGAAGCGATCCAAACAAGTCTGAGAAATGATGACATTAAGCAGGAATTTCCCCATTTCCTCAAGATGAAGTAATGCTATTCCCATTTAAACGCTCTTTGCTTACAGTACTACAAAATCAGTCATCAATTTTCAACACTTGCTCTGCAGTATTCTAGCATCGTATGGATGTTTATTACGAAGATATTATCTGAATTTCTAACGTCTCTGCCCAGATGAATATCCAGTCTAATCTAGGAACTACCCATGTGATATTTCGCTTCAAAAGAATTAGTTTAAAACGTAGCTAAGTCGAGTTGTTTTTCCCTTAAAGCGTCATATTTCGCAGTTGTTGGATTCCGGAAATTTCAAGGTCTCACCCCTTCAAAAAAGATGCCTTTTGATCTAAAAGCAATCCTTGTGAAAATTCAGTCCAAAAAATCATGCTTAAACATCGCTACGTCAAATTGCTTTTTTACATTAGGTGGCTAAGTAATAATGTAGAGAGCACCAACTTTCAACACAATTTTTTTCTCCATGAACATGCACATAGGTTTTTCCAATTAGAAAAACACAGTTTTGGAGGGTGCTTACAAGAAAATTTCGAAAATTGAAAGTCATTTTGTCCGAGGCGAGAAAACTTTGACCCAGCTACTTTTCAAATTAATTTTTTTCCCAGTGAATTTTCACATAGATTCTTTCTGAATTGGGAAATGCACTTTTCGCAGTTTCGTTTTTTGTCCATACAAGAATTTGTCACATATTCTATGCATAAAAGCTTACGTTATTGGTGCTGAACAATCATAAAAACATATGAAGTGATCGTTCAAGCATATGAAGTGATGGCTGGACGTTTTTTTTTTGAAGTGAAAAATGTGAGTTCATTGAATTTTTTAAAAAGCAATTATCACTAATTCACAAATACCATTTGTAATGGAATCCGATTGACAACATAATGGCTTGTTACAGTTGGCAACGGCACCCGGAGTATAATTGAGATCAATGTGAAGATCAGAAATTTGTAATATACGCAAATTGTCTTTTTTAAGCGATGGATAGATCGGGTAGTTAGTACCTAAAAATCATTATCAGAGCATTTGTTAAGATTTCAGTACTAAGCGATTAACTTTTTTAAATAATGTTCACCGTCACAGAAAGTACAAGCTAGATGTGAATATAACCCTACAATTTTAACATTCTTTTAATGGAGCGTTGAGGAACTGGTTCATACACAAAGATTAATTGATGATTAATACATACTTCACAAGTCGGAATCAATTTGATTATATGGTGATTTGAAATAATAATTAGTGCTTCAAATAAAGACAACGGTATTTTTAATGATATAATATTACTGTTGGCTAACCATTCGGTTTCAGCGGTATTGTTATATTCCACTGTGAGAAAGGATCGAACGGATTGCCGCAACCTTCCAAAAAGAAACCACAAAGCCGATCCGGTTGTAAAATTAACTTATCGATCACAAACAAAATTTCTTCCTGCATATAACGTGGTCAGTATTAGTGACGATACACATCACGTCAGTTTCTCTATTGTGTTATCGACATTTGGAGAAAAAGAATTATGAAGATGGAATTTTTTATGGAATTTTCCTCGAGAAAAAAAGAAACTTCCCTCTAATCATTCATTTCATATGCATTACTAAAATGCTTCTTAATTTATTATATTTCATTATTATTGCAATCCTCTTCAACTGTAAATGATTGAAAATTCAGTTAACTTTAAAAGTATTTTTTCAATGATTTTGGACGTTAATAAGTTCCATACAGATGTGGAATGATTCTTGGTATACCACTCGATTTTGTGGTCTATTGCAGCTTACTTAAACAAGTATTGATTGCTTCACGTTCGTAAATTAAACTCTAATATTGGAAGCGGGTTTCCTTTATCAACCTCGAAATGCACATCCATTCATATCTCATAATCATTTCTAAAGAAATACCCTGAATTGTGCAGCCATTCCATAGCATACAACTGTTTCCTTTTTAACAAAGTGCTCACATACGTATGATGCGATATCAATGAGTGCATCTCGCGTTGCATTTCTTCCATAAATGAATCTGCAATGAATGTCAGAATTAGTCATTTTATGTGGCATCTTTCTTCAGATAAGATTTCTCTTTGAGAGCTGCTCACATTGATTCGATCAGTTAAATAGATGAATAATAAACATGCACAAGATTGAATATTGAATTTTGGTCATGTAACAGTTTACTTTTCAATGCTCTTCACTGCTTATACAGTGCAACATGTTCAAACGATTGAATAATGGGGAAGGATGACAGTTCAACAAGATCACCTGAACGCCTCAACTGCAGCTTTGCATCCTAAACATTCCACTGTGTTCTCAACAGTCGAACGCGAACTGAACGTCATTTGTCCTAAAATCTAGCGACGTGATCCTGACTACTGAGTTATGCACATAACTTATTATCGATGAAGAAACTTATGAAATCGACTCAATCACATTTCAATATTTTTGTCAAGTGTTGGTGCAAATCATCATTTTTGTCCAAAATTTTAATAATTCAAACGTTTTGGCACGTTCTATTCATTAAGTTTTAAATGAATCACAGATTTTGATAAGATAAGAATTCATTTTTTCAATGTATCCATCACCTTGCAATGAAATTGAGATTATGATGATAAGGATGCGAAATGCTTGCTGTCCATTGGTGGTGAACATCTTTCCAAAGCAGTTTTTTCCAACAGAGAGTAGAAGTGACCTGAAAACACTAAAATTGTACTCATATACTCATGGCAGTTTATCGTGATTCCCATTTGGAGATTTACATTTGCTAGAAAATATTTACCGCACAATAGTCAATGTTAACGAGGAACACAATAGGATTATGGTATACGAAGTGCACTCGAAGCTTCATTTATCAAAAAGTTTCTGAATTAAACTCGACGGAAGAATTCGAGAGCATTTCTCAATGAAATTTCATTTCAGAAGTGGAATTAATCAATAATAAAGCGCAGGATTACCACGAAATGAGTCAAAGAAGAGCGCATCAATGTACAGTGAGGATCGTTGATAAGTGCCGATAACAGTTGTTGTGTAAGTATCGAATATTAATCTTGACCGCCACAATTGTGATCATCATATGATGTGAATTTCCCCACAATCTTATCTTAGATTGATTGTACTCAGAAATACATTCTTGGATCAGATGTGACATCTCTGATTGCTTCTTATTTGAAAGTGTCCCGGGATTGTTATTATTATAACTGTGATACGCTTTGATTCGATACAACCAAAACTTTCTAGTTTGCATTAAAACTTCCTAGTTACAAGTTCGTACTGAACACTCAGAATGGGTACTGTATACCACTGTTGTGTACTGCTATCCAGTGGCTGTGCAAATCAACGATTATCAACTGAATTGTAAATTAAGTTGTTTTGGAGCTTTCAAGTACCATAGATTTTTGCGATGAATTTCATCATTTTACGCTTCGTCACTTTTAAGTAATTACAATCTCCGAAATTCATTTAACTCCGAAGAGTAAATTGAATTTGAAGTTGAATACAAAAAATGAATGCTAAGAGTGAGATGAAAAATTATTATCCAAAGCAAATGATTTACCAAGAGCGAAAGTGACACTAATGAGTTGTGTTAGAATTTAAAAAGAAAAACTCGTTCTGATATCAAAATTCATCCGATGCTTTAATGAACGACTATCTGTGGAAGTGACACATTCGATTACTTATACATTTGACACATATCAATTATTAAATCCTCTCAGTTGCACTTATTTCATTCGCCACTTTTAAAATGTGCTCCATTCTTCGCATTGTTCACCTCGAAAATTTGTTCAGTTCAACCAAAGTGAATTCATTTTTCACTTCAGAGTTTCGCATTTATTTGTCTGAATTTTCAGTGTCGTTGTTTAAACCATTTACGTATCTAGTTTTCTAGGTTTGTTTGGCGATTTATATATTTGTTTTTAATTTTGCCTCTCCATGTGTCTACCTAATACTATGGTATAGCAACGATTCGCTCATTGTTTTATCTTATATTATTTCGGTTATGATCACTAACAATATGGTTCAATTGACTGCTTTGTCGGTCTTATTTTAACTTTTGTCATTCCATCGTTCTCAATAAAAACTTATAACAACCACCGACATGTGAGTATTATTATGAATGATTTCAAGGTAAATTTTCACAAATGAAAATAATTCTGACAACATATTGGTGTTCCATTTTAAGAATCGCTGTTTGTGTCCCGCAAACACCTTTCTCTGTTACTGTAGTTAAGTTATTTTGATTTTATTGACACTGTGTGATGACAATAGGGCAGTCTTCTGGGTTAGCTGCCAAAACGCTGGAAATGAGCAAACTTTTTTCAAGTTCGAAAGAGAAGGCTCTCTCACATCACTTTTCTCTACGCTTTCATTACGAACGTCGCGTGTATCGCTCATCATGTCCTTCTAACAGTTGAGAGGTTTTTTCAATGAAGACAATGGAGAGGCAGAGAGAACGACGAATGTAAATACTACAGAATTGCTGGTGATCATAATGAAGCCGTTAACACGATTGTAAATGCTTCATGCACCTGAATTTCGAGGATTCATTTGAATCTAGAGGTCATGCGTGACAGTCTTGACCTCAGGGGTTGTTTTCGTGTTTCTAAACAGAAAACAAGCATAGCTTCGGGATCGCAGCAGTGAGACGATTCCTTACTTTTCAAATCTATCAGAGGCTTTAGGATAATCACTTCGTTGTGTGACCGTATGAATGAGCTTGACGTAGTTATTAAGACTGGCATAAAGGATGATGAAAGGTTTGCATCACTTGGTTTGATGGATGAAACTGAACGTGCAACAAGTAGGGTCTATCGACCGGTACATCTCTGGAAGGTGTTCATTTACCTGCGAAGGAGACTATCATTGCCCAGGTGCACGCAGCCATACCTCAGAATGAGATGAATAAGTGAGTCCTACTATCGAACAGTAGTCCCAATAGCTCAACTAAGTGATGCATTCATCATAGACACATAATGAAAAGGCACAGTTAAGAGAGGGAATGAGACAAAATACACAAAAGAGAGATGCGAAGCAATCGATGGGCACAGACAGTGACCGTCGAATGAGAGATCTTGGACTTCGAAAAAATTCTGTTCACTTTGAGCACTCTGGCAGCTAAACTAGTAGAGTGCCGACAATAGGTACTGAGGACGTTGAATTTGTAAGAAGTAATCAAGAACAGCTATCTAATAAATTCACTTTCATTATTCTTTTCAGTTTTTGACTTTTCTTATTTCGTTTTAATTTGTGCGTATTATCAATTTAGCTTTCTTCTATCACCTTTTATTACATTCTATTTGTTACATAACTTGTGACTGCAATTACGTCTATGGTATTTCGCACATTCGATTGTACGCTGTACAAAAAATGTTTTCACTGAAATTTCAAACTTCCTCACATTTTGCCCAAATGAATCGAAGCAAGACGATTGTCGGTAAAATTCCGTTGCATTGTACCATGATGTTTGAAGATGTGCGTAATATTTTACATAAATTTTTATTTGCAAATAGTTTCATCGTTAGAAATTTGGTTTCTTCGTTGCGCTTCAACTGAGCAGGCTTATCTTTCAACTTCTACTATTCGTTCATACGCAATGAATGCAATCTGAAAGACTGAGTACACAAGGTACAAAAATTATCGTGTTGTGCTTGCTTACAGTTCTAATTTTTTTGACAAACAAAAAACAAAGAATCAGTCTTTCCTATCAGTAAACTAATCTGATAAACACATGAAATGTTGTCTTTGAGAAGTATTATTGCAGTTATTCCCATACTTGCTCACTCATCTTCACTACTGATGACACCTTTTCATTTCACTTTTCAGTCGAATATTTAGCATTTCGAATTATTGGACCATTTATTTCCAATTCATCATTTCTTATGTTCATTCCCTATTGACCGTCATTTTCGACTGATTTCTGCCTTGTTGACTGCAACACCTCGTCACTCTTTAAAAAGCGATTTTCGAATGAAAAAATCTTCCTTTGAAATTTAGTTCCGTTAATGAGTTAATGAATGGAGATAGAACTTTATGAGTAATTTGTATTAATTTTTGAAAATTTTCATTAAACTTATCTGAGAAAATATACACACATTGTTCAAATTTTAATGGAAATTCTATGCTAAGCTCGGCGAGAAAATCATTCACGCATGGAGCAGTGTATACTCAGAATGAATTGAAAGGCAAATGCTTGTTGGAACGTGATCATGCAAGTGATTCATTGCTTCGCAATAGCATCTCACTAGTTTTGATCAGTTGATTGTGCGAATCGATTTATTGCCATTAGCAATTCTTTTGTTTTATAGACCAATCAATCATCAGCATCGATGTCTGCCACGAAATCAGTAATGATGCCAGACAAAGATAATATTGATGTGGAACAACTGATTCACAGCAACAACGATTTCAACGCTTGTGATAATGCAGATCAAATATTGGGACAACTTGGTGAGAGTTTATTTTTGGTATTGATAAATTAGATTTAATTGGTAAGTTTGATAAATGGAAGCAGCACTTCATCATCAACTGAATGATATTTGACAGACAATTACTGTTGTGTTGTGCGATCGCACCTTCAAACTGGTTTTGCAATTATCATTCACGGTGACGTTTTTCTGTTGTTGGAAGTTCTGTGAATTCAAAATGCATTACCACTTCAAATGAAGAAATATTACGGTTTCAACCGCAAGAAAATAGTTTATTGTTTATGTGAAATTTGATGACTTTCTGTCAGATATTCAGGGCAAGTAGTTCTTGACTACACGTATTAGTATGAGATTTTTTGTTGAAAGTCACAAAAATTTGACTGTTAATCGGCATCTGAAGATAAATGAGTTATTTGAGCTCATAACCCAGTTGTTTTGCAATTGGTTACATGAATGATTTCATAAATGGGGGATGGATGATATTTAAGCAAGTGATCATCGCGTAAACTATTGAAAATGCATGCATACAAAAAACGAAATTACATCGTGCTTTTCTAGGGGCTCGTAATAAGTTCATTCTATTCATAACATTCATCTTATCGCTTGGATGGACAATCAGTGCAATGCCGAATATGTGCAGTGCGTTCATTGTCAGCGACAAAGAGTGCACTAATAGTACGGATTGTAAAGCTGAAAATCGAACAACGATCGCATCGGAAGTCAGTTCTCATCTGCTTGTTTATTGTTATCGCAAAAAATCTCAAACAATCAAACCACTTGTACATTACTCACTACTTTTCCAGTTCCAATTATCTGACGAACGCAAATATTTGGCCGATTGGACGACGTCAGCATTCATGCTTGGCAATATGCTCGGTGCGACTGTTTTAACTCAACTTTCCGATAAGTGTGTTTCTTCAGTATCATAATTCTCAAAAGTGGTGTGTCAGTACTCAGACATATCGTTTCGAACTGCAGATTATGAATGGGTTGAGATATGGGAATGTAATGTGCCTACTACCTCATCTCTCATCAGCTTACGGGAACACATCAACAGTTACATTTGTAGGCGATCATACGTGTATGGCGCAGATCAAGCAGTAATATTTCAGTAGAGCTATGCTATCTTTAGCTCATTAGAACACATTTGATTTCTTTTGACAGTACGATGGAAGCATCAAGGCAATATCAATTAATTTAGCAATATCAATTACGAAAATAACAAATTTTTTGACAACAAGCGCATAGCCAAAGTTTTTTTCCGCGGACGTCTGGGGGCTAGAGGGGAGATAAAGGAGATCTGGGCTGGAAAATTTTTTAGCGTTTGTTTTTCTTCCTTCTCCCTTCTCTTCTCATTTTCTCCCTCTTCCTTTCCCCTTTCCTTCCACCCTCAAGACCTTTCACTCTGATCGAACTGTAAAAATTATCCCACAAACAGAAAATGTTTGCGTACGATATCATGCAAGAGTGGAACTGATACTAGCAACGTCCCTCTTGAAGCTTCAGACTTATCAGCAACTGCAAATTTGTCACATAGATTTCTTATGGAAACATGATTTCTTTACGCTCGGAAACTTAATAGTATTCTTCCATATTCTCCTAGCTAATTTGGTTCCACTTTAACACTACATGCTGTTTCCGCACTCAGATATGGTCGACGTCCAGTGCTCATATTCTCTCTTATTGGACTAACCTTAGCTGGATTCATATCGGTTTTCGCCAACAACGTTCACGTGGTTACGCTCGGTCGTTTACTGCAAGGAGCTTGCGCACCGGTCGTTACACTTATTTTTGTTGTTTTCTTCTCATCAAAACTGTACAGATTCGAAAGTATTGTATATTGGAAAAGTTTCATTGAATACAACAACAACATATTTAATTCAGGGATTATGCTTGGTTGTTTGGGTACTCGGATGTGAGTCAATACCAATATCATTACGTGGTTATGCAACACTCATTTATGGTACCATGTGGGTCATTGGATACTGTGCAATTGCACCATTGGCATATTACATAACAAACTGGCGACTGATCCTTCTTGCGAGCACGTTACCTGGTGTTTTCATGGCTCTTCTTGTCTTCCTGTAAGTGATCATCCTCAGAAACAGTCATCAAATATATGACTTCTTGAATATTATTCATTCATCTGTTAATTGTTGACAATCTTTGCTCATACGAAACAAGTACGAATGGGAAATTATTGGCAACTGCATTGCAATTTCATCTCTTTTTTTTTTAAACGGAAAATCCACGTTGTCCGTCCATATGAGCAACTTAACTAGTGCTAGTCGAAATTGCAGCATTTTCACTTTCATTAAATACAAATTCATGAACTGAGTTATTTCATCGAAATTTCCAGCTTATAGTTTCGTACCTGAAAGCTTACACTTCCTTGTCGTGAACGGCAGAAACGAAGAAGCAGTAAATTGGGTGAAAACAGCGCAAAAGTATGGCCAAACCAAGAATACTGCTAACTTGGAAAAAATGATGGAGGTTTTGCTTGCTTGCAAGCCTAAGAAAGACGAAGCCAATGAGTCAGTGTTTTTTAAAGTTGCACCTTGATATAGTATGAATTCATGATTATTCATGCTGTTTCATATTGTCAACGACAACTGTTACTTTAAGCAACTCACTTTTATTGGCTTATATTATTAGGATGGAAAAACCTTTACTAAAAAATATATGCTTACAGTTGCATTTTTCAACATTATAAGAAGAATCAGTAGAGAACAGATCCGAAAATGAACCAACGTTGTGATATCTTCTCGAAATAATCTTGAGATCATCGAACGTAAAATAACGTTGAGAAATAAACATATGATGAGAACGAAAACGCAGAGAGAGCTTTGTATTATTGAATTTTTTGCGGCCGGAAGAAATTTCAAAAGAAACCGAAATATTGCGTTTCAAAAGTAGCAAAGATATATTGAAGTGCTGCATATCTAAAACACAAAGCAAAAAGCACTGCTTGATAACATAAAAATCAAGTATTCAAGATAGAAATCATGAAAGATAATTTCTTTGCAGATTACATGGATTCGATGAGTTGTTATCGAAAAAAATATTTCTATTCTATTCAGTGATTCTCATATTTCTTTGGTTTGTGTTAATACTATTCAACTCAAATTAATACTATCAAATTTTAAAATGGATTGAATTCAGCACTTTCATGAAAACAAATGAAAACTTTCGTTGTGTTTCCCACTGAATAAGTACAATCCTGTTATGAAAATTCAGTTAACGTTTCCCATATTCGTTATACAATCAACAACTTTTAAATGCAAAATACCATTCGTTATCAATTATAAAAGTATGCGGATCATCACTGGTTATTCTTCAGTCGTTATGAAATAACGAGTGAATTTAGGTTTGAATAAGCCCTCAATATACGCACTGCCTACCTCAAGTTGGGGAAATTTCATTTGTTATTCTAAACAAACTGATACAATATGATCATTATTCGTTCAGGTCAAGTAATACATTCGTCTATTTTGGTCTCTCACTGTATGTAACACGTATTGCCGGTAACAAATACTTGAACTACGTGCTCTCAGGACTCATCGAAATGCCAGCTTATCTATTTGCGCCGCCAGCACTCGATAAGTAATTCTTCGAAGCACTGTGCTTCTTCAGCAATTCTCTTCGTTTGTTTCAAGAATTCATGATGAATACATGCATGAGGTAATGTTAAAAGCAATTGTTATGATTGCAGCATTGGAAGGAAACCTGTTGTTGCATGGTCTCATTTCCTGGCTGGTTTCTCTCTGATCGCTTACGTGTTCGTTCCAGATGGTAAGTGGTCTGTCTGTATTCGACTAACCATATAAGTACAGCTCCTCAAGAAATTTCGACTGTCCGAATCAGTTACATGAACGTTTTTATTAGGCTGTTTGAAGCATCAAGGCGAGAGCGAGAGCGAGGCTGAGCACTCGAATTACTAATCAAGCAAATGAAAATTCTCGCGTGATTAGTTCTTCAAATAATGCAAATAGCAAACCATATCAAGTACTGAATCATTCTCCTTTCAGTTTCATTAAAACTACTCTATTTTACGTCATGCAGTAAAAGTAAAAAAACAACACTTTCTGTTCTTTGGAAAAAAATGAACCATCAAATAATAATTTAAGTTGAGCGATGACTCCGAAGATGAAACAAATTGTTATATTAAACAATTAGAACATCAAGGAACCACTCAAGAAAGCATTTTAGGCATGAATTGGCTCAGGACATCACTCTGTATGACGGGTAAATTTGGGATATCATGTTCTTTCATTTGTATTTTTGTGTATGGCAGTGAAATTTTCCCAACGACGATTCGAAATGCATGTCTCGGATTGTGCTTAGTTGTAGCACGATTTGGTGGAATTGTTGCACCGTATGTGAAACATCTTGTAAGCATTCTAAATTATTCATAACTTTTTATCAGAGGCTATCACCATCTTAATCGAAAAAGTGAATCTCAACTGTTTTAAGCAATAATAAATAACTCCGAAGGGAGATCAAACTGACACTTGAGCATTTGCATATGGATTTCGATAATTACTTAGGAGAAAAATTAAATGAAACTTCTAATGTGAGATTAGAACGCATTACATCTCGACAAAATTTATTTCATTATTGTTATTGTAAACAAGAAAAGCGGCAGCTCAAAATGAACATAATAAGTGTTACTAATGACTTATCAAAATGTACACTTATAGGAGGCGATCAGCCCTTCGCTACCAATGGTTTTCTTCGGATCGATTGGTGTTGCAGCAGGTGTGTTAACATTATTTCTGCCAGAAACGAAGAACCGTGCTCTTCCTTCGTCACTTAACGATGTAGCTGCAGAGAGGAAATAAACTTAATGCCGTTCATTCATTTTCAAATACCTTTCTTTCATTGTCAAATGCATTTATTTGTGCGCCTTTTGTACTAAAGAAAACGCATTTATTTTAAATTGAAAGTGTTCTGCAGGTGTTCGAACGAATAACCTTCAAAAATCAGGGACAAAACATAATATCCATAATTAGACTTTTAATCACGTGATATGACATTTCAACACTACCATAAAGTAATGTCTCATCGGCGGGAAACCTTATCGAACACTACTTTTTTTGTTCTTTATGTTAATCACTTAAGATTTTGGAATGATTCCTTCTTAATCGGTGCTCAAAACTACAAATTTTCAAAAAAACTTTATGACTTTTGTTTGCATTTGTCAGCACGAAGCAGAGAACATCATGAACATAGAGAAAGAAGATTAAAACGGTAATAGGAACAACTTCAAAATGCAGAAATCATCAAATATGACGTCGAGTGTCAATTAATTTACGAATGATTTGCACCAATATCAACCAATCCAATATGAAATGATTTTAAAATTTTCAAAAGTCAATGAAGCAGTACATAGAATGCAATTATGAATGCTATAAGACACGACATTCAGGAAACAGATTTTTTTCGAAACATTAATCACCACTAAAACACAATGAAATCAAGGAAAACGTTACATAGGTGAGTCTCAAAAAAAAGAAGCGTATACCACGAGTAAGTTACTGAGAGTGGTTAAAATGAGTGAGTATATCGAAGAGAATCGATTATAAATATATAAAGATCCATCAGAAGGAATAATTAACATTTAGAAATTCATCAGTAAAACACTGAACAGAAATCTGAACAGATAAAAAGAACCTCACTGAGGAGATCAGCAATAATAAGACACTTGAAAGAATGATGCTTGAAACCGTAGTAGTTGCAGTACTACAAATCTGTTTGCAATGCCCTAACTTATTTTGTGTAGCTGTTTCAAAAATTCGAAATCATAATTACAGTCAGACACTCATTACAATGATTTTGATTTGATTTCTCCAAAGAAATTTCTAGCGAAGCAATTGTGTTGTTTGGTTGCGGCTAGAAATAAAGGATTGTTTTATGGAAGTTTTACATTAATGAATATTCAATTTGACTGATCTGGTAGAATGAATGTCTGAAATATTCTTTCTTTGTTTCTTACGCCAAAATCGATTGAATATAACAAAAAAGTATCGCATTATTTTGAAGAGCGAGTGGATAAAGGACAACAAAAGATAATCACATAAACTCACACCAGCACCGAAGAAAAAGAAATAGATAAGATAAGCCAACAACGATAGTAATATCAAATGTCAACAAAACACTCAGGTAGGTCCCACACAACATTCACGTGTTTTCATCTGCTCTTATCAAACCCACACCACCAGTATCACCACAAACGCTTCTTTCCTGCAATCCACCATCTTATCAATAACGATACTCAGTTTTGTTGATATCAGTCAATTGTTCAAAATAATTGAAAATAATTCTGCCAAAGAATTCAAGAAAATATCACCCAACCTAAAATCAAATCCATTTTTGTTTAAACTTAAAAGTGTGCATAAATAAGTAATACTGTTTATAAGAGAGCTAAACAAGATTGCTTTTATCATGACAATCACAAACATTATCAGAAAAGATGATATTTGGTGACTTTTGGTGACAATCCGGAAAGATTGCTTTTCAAAAAAAGCAACGAAAACTTCAAGCCATGAATCTTATTCACTTCAGCACAATTGAAAATAGCGATCACTCACTCGAATCGCTTTATTTCTGCCATCATCCTTGCATTCATCAACATGCCCATACGTGTGCACTAATCTGAAACATAAAACGAGATGTTCAAATTAATCTTGAGCACCAAACGGAAATTGCCCTCGCACTGAACTGTAAACAGTATGCGCCACCAAAGAAGCAATCAATACTTCAGAAGTGATAAGCATTCAAAAAACGAACAACTGCATTTGATTCAGCTTCGCCCACATATGCCAAGCTAGTTCACAAGCCATCATCCCGCCAGCACGTTGATCAACAAACCAAAGTAACAATGCTCCATCTGCTTTCAAAAAACCATTCACAAAACGAATCAGTAAATGTTTGTTACGTATATCCCATCCGTTAGAGTCGATCTAAATGAGTTATTCCATTTCTTCATCAATACTGCTTTCAATTCAATAAACAAATGAACTCCAACTCAATTAAAATATAAACAATTGTAATTTTTTTTTAAATGAGATAACCATAATTTTAGATACATATGATTTGATTTTAGGCACATTTAAGATCTACTTTCACAGATATGTAGAGTTCGATAAATCATCACAAAACAAATCTGCAACAAGCTTTCTAATGTGATGATAAATTTAATAGTTTATGAAAATGAACTCATTATTGTTCGAAGCAGTAACACGACAGGTACAATGAGATGACGTACTTGGAGCATCTGTAAAATACGATAATAACGAAGCGGTGGTGTAAAAAAGCTGATCGTTATGAATAGTGCAGAGGAAAGATTCACAATGGCGAGTAATGATAACATAAACCACATCAATACGAATATCTTTTCGTTCAGAGTATTCAACATCAAAACGCATTGCATCGAATAAACGTTCAATTGCCCTAAATGCTGAAAATTGAAATGATATAATATTGGGAGCTCTGAAGCAACACCTTAACTTTCTAACAGAATCAGCCATTTTAAGACGACGCATTAACACGGTGTTTCTCACGCTTGGAATATTCATTACCCCTTTCGATGATCTGGCAGACCGTCTTTACCTCCTCCCACTAAAAAAAAATTACTATCTCCACGCATAACTTGAGAACCAAATCGAAAACCGGTCCGAAAATTCCTCATTGGTGTGGAAAAGAAATAATTTTCCGGATGAAAAAAACATCCGGAACTTTAGAACTTTATTTATCAACTGCAGTTAGAATATGAACCTCAGCAATTAACAACGAAAAGCAATGAAGCAAAATCATTCGTCTGCGACGAAAAAACTGAAATCTCTACCTTCAAGTTAATTTATACCCTCAATTACCTGCTTACATCCTTCAATTACCTCTAACAGGTAATTTATTTACTGTGAGAAACACTGCATTAATAAATCACACAAAATAACCAAGATCGAGAGTAATTAAGTAATAAACGCTTTGAAATAATGAACCATAAAATGGAGGTCACAAAATGTGATCCTCGGGAATAGCCCCGTTGCTTTCCATGAACTACCAGCCAATAGTTGCTGCATCAACTGTAATCGATATGATAGCTATATAAGGCATCTGAGAATTTCACATTCTCACAATCAGCTGAAAAACTTAAAGAAAGCAACGGATTTTCAATGATCTTCATGTTACTTTAACGTTTCCAATCCAGTGAGATTAATTTTAGAACCAATTTTCCTCTTAACCCATGTAATCAGGAAAACAGCTGATACTATTTGGTTGATCAACGAAATACTAAATGGATTTTTAGTCCATAAAACAATAACTGCGTAAGTAATGCAATATAATTCGAAACATGACAGCTAAATAGAAGGGAGAAAAGTATCTTCTTCAAATTCATATTTGAGGCAATTTCATTGCAGAAGAAACAATGTTTGAATAAACAATTTGAATTCACATTATATCCCCAGAGATAATTGTTATCACCAATCAGATAATTGATCAGAAAGAGTTCTGAAACAACTATCACAACAGAAAGCCATTTTGCTAGCATATAAGTGAACGTCGCAAAACTGCCTCCCAAATGTAGCCACAACCTGGAAATAATTTTTACTCACAGCAAATAAGAGATCATTGCCTGGACTGACCACGCTATCAAACGTTTGCAACGTCGCTGGTCACAATGCTGCTATGTTTCATGTATGCTGGTCACAACACAAAAAAAATAAGAGATCATACATGCATGATATCCGAATGAGAGAAACGAGGATTCAGGACCAAACATGAACGAATATGGGCAGTAAAGGAGGGAAGGGGTGAGGATTCTGGGAAAATCTGGACACTGCTACATAAGTTATGCCACGAGGAAAAGACATTATACGCGGAAGAGTCAAAAAGTCCACGGAATGATGCGGTTATTCAGAGGCAATCTGATATATTCTTTTGTAAGTCACCATCAATACTGCTGGTGTAATCGCAAAGTTTACTGCGCGGGCAGTTGCTCTTATCTGATTCTACCTTACTGCCACACAAATTTTAAAAGAGTGTTCCCATATACACCAAAATTTCGATGGAAAATGGCAGCCCCCAAATATACCGAATCGTCGGAAAAAAATGGAAAAATGTATTCACTCATAGTTAAGCTGAAGCACTTTTAAGGTATGTTGCAACTTCTGTGCAAGAGCATTTGATCGCATCTTGCTTTGCAATGTTGCGATGTAATCTCGAATATAGAATACTCTGGTTAAGCTAAAAAACATCTAAGCGAAGGATAGACTCAGCTGATCTTTCTGGTGAAAGCCAGCAAAAAGAAGAATCCGCATTGCAGAAAGATTACGGAGACAATAGCGCAGGTAAATGAGGACTTGTAAATAGATCGCGAGAAGTCAGGCGCGACGAAGAGACCTCGAAAGCGATCCTAAACGAGAAGATCTTCACTCCGATTAGTTCCGAAACCAGCATTACAGCTCAGCAGCTGATAGGAGAAAACCGCAAATTCATCATTGGTGACGTATTGACCTGATTTTTGACACAGAATTGTTTCAACTAAACGGTGGATTCCGACATTCCTTATCACATCTATGATAACAAATCTGCTGTATTCTTCCACCATCTCTTAAACTAGAAAGAAGAATTTCGTGTTGATCAACTCTGATAATTCCCTTAATAATTGGCCATCTACCGTATTCGTCGGGGCATTTCTTCATAATTTCATCATCAAGAAAGATCTATAAGTTTTAATTTCATTGAAAACTGCAGCTTAGCATGTATTTTTCCCATACCAAAAAATATGCTATCTGCAATATGACGTGGTGGTAAGGTAGAAGAGGCACGAGTATTTGCCTTTGCAAGCATTGTACAGTATAATATGTGCACCTGATCATGTCAAATTGTGATTGAGTTTTAACATTTTTCCATGAACTTTTTGACTCACCTACATATTAAGGAGAAAGAGAAGCTGAAATAACAAAAAATGGTGATAATGAAGCCAAGATAAAAACCAGTAACTATATGAATACGAGAACGGTAATGTTTGCGAGTGGAGGACGAATCAATATTGATAAGATGTCGTCCCAAAGTGATTAACTTTCAAGTAGGGAATTCTTTTATAAATTAAATGAAGAAAAATGATAGAGTTGAGATGCTTAAATGTAAAAGCCAAAATCGAACTATCCATGAACAGCCGCATGCAACTTTGATATTATTTTTTACACTACACTGATAAAAATTTTGGTTTTCAGCAAATAAATTCAATCCTATACCGTATTTTCGCTACATAACAATTCAAAAGCACATGAAAATACTTTATTTCGAAGAACAGATGTTTTCGGAAGTTTTGGAGAAATTGTTGAAAGAAAATGCAGAGGAGGAATTGACACTATCTGGACGTCCAAATATCCTTTTCTTCGGTGGAGGGGGAGGGGGAGTGGGCATCACATAATTATAATCCAAGACTGCTCATTAATTTGATATAAATTATTTCGAAGCATAAGAAGAAATTATGTTTTAGAATGAATGTACCATCTGTTTGAAGTGTAATTCAGGTACTGAAGAATGAATGATGCAAGTTTAGAGAGTTCTTTATTGTGCTCACTTATACTTTCCTTCAAGTTTAATCGCATTGTCTCCTCTACGATAGAACGTATGTCCAATCCTGAAATACCATTCAACTCACCTTGAAATTCAACACACTCTTCTATAAAATTACTGAATGTATTGAACGACTAAACGAATAGAAAACCAAAACCCTCAGTTCGAGACCAGCAATCCCAAAAACATTTTCAGACAAAAATTTATGATAATGTATATGATGTCCAAGACGAATGATGACTTGCTTTTGTCGAGTGAACATGTTCACTAAAATGAAGATCAAAGTTAAAGAAATAAATGCTTAAATTTAATGCTAACCCTGGAAACTAGCAACTGAATTCCAGAATATTTTCGGAAGAATGAGCAGAAATGCTTGAACCACCAAGACGTATGGTACCCACTGCAATAAATAATCTATGAGACTATTCAAGTCAACAAACGTTAGTGAGCACCAGCACCACCAATTGGGAATCAATAAGCAGTAATAGCAATAAGCTGAAAATTTTTAACAGTAATATCAACTTTTGGAACGAGTTCTTCATCAATATCAACTTTTGAAACATTCACCATGAACAACTGGTCAATGCAGACTCAAATTCAGACTGATATTGAAAATCACTATGTTAAGATTTAAGTCATTTACCTGATAATAGCTAATATGCTCTTTCATGATCNTCGTTGAGATGCCACTGGCAAGTGAAGAAGATACATTCAACGAGTACGTGCTAGTGATAAAACAATAATCGTGCGAATATGTCACCCATGTCTCTAAAATCAGCTTAGAACACTAGCACTGCCCCAACGGTCAGTGATTACCTCGGACATAAAAATGATGATGTTACGGTGCACGATATCATTTTTATGTACCGTACACTCATTAGGTGGCATAATCACGGAGTTCCTGGCTCAGGATGGATTTACAACCTGCCGCTCTTATCTCTTGTGACAAATCTCTATAGATGTAAAATTTTGCTAAAGAAGACAAAATTTGACTCCGATTGGCTGCTTTCCACATTCTCAAAGCGGAAACAATAAATGTAATAGGTATAATTATTATCAGAATCAATGAAGTTTGTGATCTTATCTGCCGTAAAGAGAGAATTATGAGATAAGCGGAGTAATGAAATACTAAGTAAAGCGGTGAAAGATTACAATAATGAAATAATATAAGCGGGGTAATCACTGTGCTGCAGTCATCAGTAAGATCAGCGCAAACAATTTCTATGATCAACTAAACACATCCATCAAGCACTTATCAAGGAAGCATACGCTAATGACCTCGTTACTTTGATCCGTTTATATATTCACTTTTTTAACATTAACAAATGAGTATTGGTGAAAATCAGCTGCGATAATAATTAGCTGCAATAGTCAGCTATAATAAGAAGAATAAAAGCAAAGCACTATGGTTGCAATGAAACAATACACGTGGATCAAGAACGACGAATATTTCAATGCGGAAATTGTCATTCCTGTTTTGTCGAAGCGATAACGCAAAAGCAAGGAATTTTTATTAACGACGACAGTAAGGAAGTATGGGAAAAGGAAATTTAATATCTGACCTGGGAAATGAGAAGGCGCCATACACTGAATGGGGCTACCGAAATGTTGTTTGCTACCAACGAGAGCTGCGAAGAAGAGCAGTAATGAAACTGTATAAACATAGTTGAGGCGATCCACGAAGTCATCAGTTGGATCTGCATTTAATGCACTGAGGCAATCAACAAATTTCCTTGGCCAAAAACTCATATTACTTGAGAGTTTATCGTTTCACTTTGAGACGACAGTGATATGCAGTCCAGTCGGTAGCTGTTGTTAGAGTTTTGTGTTATCAACGTTACTAAGAAAATTCAGAGATTAGTATGTTTGCAATTGTTATTTGTGCGCAGAAAAAGCCTGGAGAGACAAAAAACTTTAGTGATTTATGAAATTAAATTAAAAATTCATACATTCAAGAAACTTTCGAACCCAGTAAAACAAGTGACGTCTTCGTGCAATAAACATTTGATTACGAAATAGGAAAACGACGGCTGTATGCTTCAACATATACGTATATACGTGATCGTGTTAAACCACTATGCAAATTTACCCGGAAAGAATCTCTTCGTGTTAAATTCGAATCTGTTCGTCACGAATTATCTTTGTGGACTAACTTGTCGCATCAGTGGTTATGAAAGTTCCCCAAATGAAACTCATGACTCCTTTCTAGGTCCATTTTTCATGATTCTTCGTTCGTTTTTGGGTTCTGTTCGCATTGTAGTACCTACCCAACGTCTACTACCACCCACATCCTCGTTTGTATACGGCAAATGACTTGAAACTGGGCCAACCAATTCACTCTGTGTTGCTTTAACATGTTCAGGCATTCACATTCGCAGGCATTTCAGTTGTGGAATGAGGAATTGAAAATGCCTGTTATTGAAATGTGCGTTCGTCCCAAACAATGCAACGAGTCGTTTACGATGTACGTCTACTGTTTGTCGAGAAAATTTCATTCGTTTGTAGGGGTAGAGTAGATGAAGAAAAATACATCCGAAATGACTGTCCAAAATTCTCATTTGCGAGCAGGAAAGTAAAATTCATAAAAACTGAATATATTATATAATGTCATCTTAAGTGCTGATGTAGCATATTCGGACTCTATTATAGTAACAGGCAATCAACTGCTTTAAACAGTTTTATTTGATTTTTTAAAAAAACTCCCAAAAAACGCAAATATGCTATTCTTCAGTTAATTAATACAAACAGTCAACTTTCTGACGTAAAACAGTGGAAATATTCTGCTGAGTTAAGAAAGGTGGGGACAATTTACGTATGAAAGATTATCTTATTGTATGCTTTGCTTCAATTTTTTGAACATTTGAAATTACGTTCCCAAAGTGAAAACGTTGCAGTGTAAACAGTCAAGAATGGATTGATAGTCGACACAGGGATCGAATATGTACTGAAAAATAAGGAATGCGCAAGTTTCGTCTCCAGAATACTTTGCATTCACCGTTGGTATTTATATACTCCATTGTTTGGTGCACATATAGGTATCCTTAAGCACCAGTTTGATAAGTGGCGTAAGAAGTGACGATGAAAGGCACAGTTCAGTACACTGGTTCATCACTCATCAAGCATAATGCCTTATACAGCGAGAAAAGGATTCAAAGTCTGAGAGGATTGAGCCAATAATTAACATGAAAAAAAGAAGAAATGGATGATTTGGAAATGAGCATATCTGATTACGAACTATGTGACAAATAACGTGTAAATAAAGTAATAAATGTAATTCGTAGCTCAGACAATAAAAATAGCACTCAAAATTCAAAACTGTGCACAGTGCCATGGAGATGCTCATGAACAGATTCGTTACCGAAATCTTCTGCAATTCTTTTGGTATCAATTAAGATTGATGAATCTCTTTTTATTTCTATGGTCTTTAGTGGGGCGTTGGGCGATTTCGAAAGGATGAAGTGTTTGAGGCATTCAAGAAAACCGCAGACATTTTAGTGTTTGCAAATGCCAATCATTTTTCAATTCCAAGATTGGAGTGAAATTCCAGAATCGGCTTTCAATCCTAGCATTTAAAAACGATCACAAACGGAAAACATAGAAACGGTGATGACGAAAGACGAAGCAACAGTGATTACATCACGAAATTCTTGCTTACTGCTCTCTGAAAAATGGAAGCTGAGATGATGTAGCGATTTATCCGTTCTCCTTGGATGGTAAATGACAAATGAGAATGATTGGTGTGTAATTCAAAATGTGTGTATTATCAAAATTAAATGAGGTGTCGTATCTCCTTGAATAGTTGAGGTGAATCGCTGTCTCTTGAAACATGGGCACCTAATTCACTCAAAACTCGAACAGCATGTGATTTCATTAAAAACACGTGATGTCATGCTATTGAACTCTGTTTCTCTCGAGCATTCTCACAGAGTACGATGGTTCTTCTTCAGTACTTCAGGAGCTCTTTGAAGTGAACAGCACAAGAGGCTTTGCGCAAATGTTTAAAACTGAACAGTTTCTGTAGTCAAATACACACGATCGGTAATCGATGGAACGACAAGAGATATGGAGTTTGGTGTTGTCAAATGTTCAAAATTTGATTCGAGGGATCCTGCTCCGAATTTGAAGATAGGGATTCGGTGAACTGCAAAATAGCGAATAGTTGTGGAAAATATCGAGAGATCCTGCGCCGGACCACGATTTAGTTTCGGCAATCAGCGATCTTGTAAGCGAATGCATTACGGTAATCTCTACATCACCGAAGATTCCGAGTTCAATTTGTTCGGGGTACTCGCGCCGAGTTCGGCATTCAGCTGTCTTTCGTTGGTAGATGCTCAAAATTTGATTCAAGGATTCCGCATCAAACCAAGAAATATAGTTTTAGCATCCGGCAAGCCACTAGAAATATCGACAATCGACAGAATGCATTTCGCTAGGCAGCTATATTTTCCAGAGATCCAGTCGAGTTGACTGTCTCAAACAGTTGTATGCATACCTCCAGCTATATAACAAATCTTCCGAAATTTAGCTGCATCGTTACAGCCAAGCATTATTCATCAACGTCATTTATGTTGGAAAGAAATACCATAGTGCAACTGAAACGCGAGTCTGATAAGCAAGCCTGAACATGATATTAACTCTAAAATGATACTCTTGGTATTTATATGAGGAAGCCGCTCAGCCGTATAATTTACTATGGCAAATTTAGCTCTATCTCAGCAACTAAGCATATTTGACGTAGATAGGCGGCATAATGGAAATCTCTCGCCATTTGATAAACCTTTGGTCAGTCAGATGCTTTTTACACAAACAATTTTTATTCCTAAGCAATGCTCAGCAAATTTCTGTATATGTCATACGTAGTTAATGCCCCACGGTATACTAAAAGGCAGCATGAATGTAAATCAAAAAGATGTAATTTGCTACTTCTCGTAAGTCTTACCGAGGTTTTTCAAGTTTTCTGTCGCTTATTTACAGTTCTATTTCCATTTGTTTCTGAAAAACAGCTCGGCCCTTCACTCGAACATTTCCACTCACCTCTCTTCTTTGTAAAAACGGTCGATTGAAAGTCACCATATTCAAGAAGCTCAACTGACCCAATACTTCAGGTTGTAATACGCACGGCTTGATATTTAATTCATGGAATACAAATGACGTGAAAAGCAGAATGGTAAGTAAAATCGCTTTTACTTCTACTCACCAGTTTTATTGTTTTTTTATTATTTGGCGATTTATTATACATGCTTATTTGGCGATACGTTGCCGTACAAAGCAACAGCTGCTGATACAGTTTCTCAACTGTGTGTCCGAGGAAGTCCGGGCTTGTATTGCCATGATGGTCCGTATAAATGATATGAATACATGTACCATATGCGTCGTTTCGTTAAAATTCTACCCTGGACTGATTGTTCTTGCACATTCAAATAAGCAAGGATTTAAATTGAAAGGCATTTTATCAATGCAGATTGGGGTTGCTGGAAAGACAATTAATTGTATTTCATTGATGGTTTTAGTATTTAGAAATTGCCTTGGTTGTAATGAGAGAGGAGAGCGGCCCATGGAGAGGAAAAGAAGACGATGGCGGTGAACGCTGGAAAGATATCAAAGGAGATGAGGGCGATAAATCAACGAAACGAGAGGAGGATCGCGGTCGTGCTTTGTCGGCTCGTCGTATGCCAAGTCGTGAGCGTAGTCCTCGACGTCGTTCACGTGAAAGAGGTTATACTTTAGAGCATCGAATATAATTTAATACGTTGTTTGTAGCAATCTGAATCATCATTAATGATTGAATTTCGGAAGTATTGAAAACACCTATCTAGTTTTTGTAGTTCGATTTGAATGTTGAGATCGTTGGTATTGGTCAAGAATCAGTATGCTAATTGTTAGGTGCAGCTGACGCCATGAATCTACTTCTGCATTGTTTTCATTTAGAAATTTGCCAGTGCCTGAATAAAATTCAGTGCGGAACAATAAAAAAACACAACCAAATTCATTGTGAATTTTTAAAAATATCAGTCCACTGAAAGTAAACTATATCAACAGATTTTGTCAGTGCTTTAATTTCATTTTTTAAGATGGCTCTCGTCGGAATTATCGAAACGACCGGATGGTGTATATATCAAATATTCCATACGATGTTCGTTGGATGGAATTAAAAGACTTAGTTAGAGAGAAAGCTGGAGAGGTACTTTTTGACTCTGTCTCAGATACGTTTGTCTTTCAGATGTTTTTAAATTGACCGATGCCCTGTTTCGCAGAAACACTCAGTTTAAAAAATATTTATAAGCTGCCTTCGGAGCAGTCCGAAACTTGTGATGCCAGAAAGTATATTAGCCTGAATTAAATTTGATTAACTTCATTAAGCATCAGCATTAATCTAACCATCGTCTGTGTAGATACTAATAATCTAGTCAATTTAACTTTCAGGTAAATTTTGTTGAAATATTGGAAGATCGAAATGGAAAGTCAAAGGGATCTGCAGTTGTGGAATTCCGTGAAAAAGATTCTGTTCAGCGATGCGTAGAAGCGCTGCATCGTTACCCACTTAACGATCGTATGCTAGCAGCTAAAGAGATACGGGTATTCTTTTATAATTCTGTTTTATTTTGAATAAGCGTATTGGTTAGGAAAATTTTTGCAACAAAGGAGAAAACGAGAATTTGTTCGATGATACTTTAATGAATATAGTGAGAAGAACTTGAATACTAAAGCGTTTCGAAATTGCAAGGATCCAATAGCGTTCTTCCGTAAAGTAAAAGAAGATACGGGAGTTGACTTCATGAATAATCTTCATGGACGTAGTCCGGCGGATAATCGTTCACGTCGCGATGAACCGTTCGAAACATATGGTTTGAGTCCTACCTTCTTGCGTCAACTCTTCATTGATGGCCCTCTTACAAATCGAGTTTTTGTTTCTAACGTCAGTATTTTTAACTTTTTTAAAATATCCAGACTTTTTGTTTATAATGATGTGATATCAAAGAGGCATTGCAAAACAATGATTAATTCGAATCACTATACATCAATTCATTAAGGCTGATGTAGGAAAACTGTTCTTGCTTAATACTTACATTTGTCTACTAACTACCAATATAATGGCGAATGAACAAAATAAATGTGTAATCAGTAGCTAGATATTTCTTGTTTTAGTTGCCGTATAATGTGCAGAGTGGTCGTGTTCATGATATATTCGCACTGGCTGGTAAAGTGACGTGGGTTGATTTGCAATTGGATAAGGAAGGACGTAGTAAGGGAATGGCTGTTGTACAATTCTCACATCCCATTGAAGCCGTACAAGCGATATCAATGCTGAATAATCAGCGTCTATTCGATCGATTGATGAATGTGAAAATGGATCGTTTCGAGCCGTTCGATGATCGGCGTGATGGTGAATTACCGATCGGTTTGCGTGGTGTAGGTATGGGGTTGGGTGCGAACGGCGCACCTCTAAGTGATGTCTCCTCAATTATCTCAACTCTCAATTCATCGTCGAATCCTCAGAATGCAACATCTGCTTCTGGCAATAACTCATTAGATATTGGTATTGCCCAATCGTCATTTTCTTCTTCGCAGCCACCTTACCAATCGACAAGCAATTACTCTCATTCAAATTCAACGATACCATCATTACTACCATTACCGTTCTCTTCATTTACACCTCCAAGTTCCTCATTCAATTCGAATAATATGTCATTCACACCGTCGTCATTTCAATCATACTCCTCAGCTCCATTCACTTCACGTTCAATTCTCATCAAAAATGTTAGTCTTTTCGTTCATTCATTTTCAAAATTTCAGTCATGTGAAGTCAGTAGATCTGTTTTTTAAATATTTCGGAGCGAAAGTTTATTTAATTTTTTTGACGAGTTATATGCAGTTTACGAATAATATCTTCCATGGGTTATTATTATGAAAGAATTAGTTTGCAATTGCCGAAAGTGGATTGCATCAGATAAACGAGGCCCAAAATCTAATGCGAAGGCCTTGATTTGCTGAAAACCCTTCAAGCTGTAAGTGCTTGTTTGAAAGCACAGTGAAGAGAATCGAATTGCCTTCATCCTTATTTGAAATAGAAATAAGCACACATCATGACAATCTCCTATGAAAATGAACACGGAAATTGTCATGATGTGTGCAAAATATCAGATGATTGCAAAATAGTCATACAAATGAATCATCTGTTGGATATCTCAGAGCATGAGCTAAGCGAATGCGGTTTGCAATAAACACAACCGTAATGTTTCTTCTTCTCATTCAAAGTCACAGCAGACAGACTGATTCCTTGCCGTTGAACGTCTCTTGATCGCTCATTCGCAAATAATGATCACCACTTATCTAGTTTTTGATTTTGAACGATATAGCATGTCACCACCTTATTTATCATGTGTGACTTTTCGTGTTCAGTATTTTTGAACTGAATGAAATTTGCATGGTTGGACTTTTGCAAAACGTAGGCTGAGTAATGTTACAGTGAACTAAGAGCTCGGCTTGACTTTGTTAATTTATCGAATAAGTTAATCAACGCCCTAAAAAAAGAGTTCTCGTTTGAAGATGTGCGTATGAAACGAGCCATTTCAAAAGCATATTTCCCCACCTAACTGATGTTTTCATTGTCAAGTAAACGTTCAGGTTTGTTGATTGTTCAGGAAATGAAATGACTGGTAAGTGATGAATTTATGAACGGGAATTATAATGCAATGATTTCCTTTTCTCGTTTGCCAATTTTTGCTCATTGTCAGTGGTGACTGATCATAAATGAATTGCGGGTTGTTTATCATTGTGTTATCCCATTCAAATGTGCCGTATTGTATTTCTGGTTCAAGGAATAGATGAATGAAGCAATAACAGTTCAGTGTTTTATGTCGGTTTTTGTGAGTTATTTTTCCACTTCCGAGCTGATTTCAAATAATTGAGTTATGCATCGACTTTTTGCTGCAGTCTAAGACTAACGTGGTATTTTCAGTTACCACTCGATTACACATGGCAAATAGTGCGCGATAGAGTGCAGCAATTTGGACGGCTCGAAATGACCGAAATGATTGCTCCGGGTTGTGCGAAAGTAACGTTTATCGTTGCTTCAGATGCGGAACGTGCGCGTAAATCGCTTCAGAACACAACTGTCGAAGGACGCACCATTGGTGTTGAATTCCTCTCCTAAACTATTCTTCCTCCCTGCAGTTCAAAATGCCGTTGTTGTTATCATCATTCCTCCTCTAGACCGTCATCTTCACCATATTGATCGACAGAAATGAAATCGTAACGGATGGATGTCCTCTTGACGTGGCTTTCTTCTCATTTCATCGTCGTTTGAATTTAGTGTTCTCCGTAATCATCGAATCTTCGTTTCTCGCGTTCTGGTCTCAGTGCATTTTAATCAAATTTGTTCATTATTCCCATTCATACATTATTTTGTATTCGTTTCATTATTTGTTACTATGTTGTTACAAATTTGCTTTCTATTTTTATATTGAAGAATCATGTTTTGTGAGTTATATCTCATCCATTTTTTCACACATATTGATCACAGTCCAACTCGTCTCATCAGCATACCCTCGTCGGTTTTACGTTCAGTCGGTTTTCAGAATGGTGTATGTCGTTTACGTGGAAGCAATCTTGAATTGGGTGGCGTTCATTCCTTATTCTTTTTTACAAATTCCAGATGTTAGTCAATAGATGCAGCCGGACCGGAGAAGACATTTTTGTTCAGCCGTTGTGATTTGACATTACTTTTCTTCAATCGTTTTTCACCCAGTTTGAAGTTTGGCTATTCAGTGGGGCTGGTTTGATGCGTCTGGCGTGCTACCGACTGCAGATCTATTTGATGTCAGTGGGCTGTTCATTGTTTCGATCTATCCATTCAATAACGTGTCGAACTATTTTATTTGTTCCTAAACGATGTCTTCTCGTCGTTGACGGATTTTGTCAGATTCATACAGTTGAACGTTTTGATTTATTCGGTTACATATTCTCTTCCATTTGCTCTCACTAGTTAGAGCATAATAAAGTGTTATCATGAGATAAATGTGACGAGCATTTGGAGGGTGCTTCTGAAATAATCGTACATACTATGCTGTTGCTGACAAATCGCAAGTAATCTGGTACGTGAATCTGCGTTCTGGCTGCGTGACCTTCTCACGTTTAGATGTGTATTTCTAATCATCGATAGGCAAATGAGTATCGTTGAGAATGTGACTTCCGCTGCTCCTTCACGAAATTTGAGTTTTTTTTTTGATGTCGAGTTGATGACGTTTAGAATTCGGTTCGTCATTTTTATGCACGTTCAATCTTTCCGATTCATCGACTTCGCTCATAGTTGATGAAAAGAGTTTTAACTAGTTATCGAAGGTAGAAAAATATATCGTTGGATTGCAGAATGTATCGATTAAAGCGTTAGCTGAGCTTGATGTCAATGCATTCCCAGGACTCGACTTAGGAAAGGTACTTTTTTCGCCATGCTGTTTTGCATATAATTGGAAAGCCTTTTTTCTCTATATTGTGGAATGATTTTTGACTTTTATAAATGTACATGAAAATCACGATATGTTTACAAAGGTTACGGAAGTATTCCTCAGTCGGTCAGAACGGCGACGAATGACCTTCTTCAGATCATTATTGTGCCTTTCTACATTTCTACGAGCGAACATTGGATGCATTCTAGAAACAAACAGTTAGGTAGTTGTACCATAATACTGTTGTTGATAATGCTTCCATAGAATGATGGTGTACCGAAAGGTGTTCTGCTATACTTTATCAAATTCGATTTTACAAGTGATGCCGTAGGAGAATCTGAATCTAAGGTCAGCAAAATAAATCACGCGTAGCCTGGATTAGCATTCATCTGGCAGAGAGGATTCGAGAGGGATACACTTGGCCACATTGCTCGTTGAGTATGCTGTTGAGATACCTTCTTCCTTCGTCAATATTACAGTCCGAAACGAACCTTATTTTTTCGACGGAAATTCTTCGACAAGAACGAGAGTCCGCATTTCTGTATATGCATTTTTACGGAATTTGTTATTTGGAGAATTTTCATTATACGGGTTTATTAATAATGTACTAACCTCAATAAAACATCACTACTCATTGAACGTTGATGGTGGGATTCGGTTCTGAAAATTGCTGAATGCATACTGGGTTATTCTATTCAATGATAATGGAATCGATTTCGCGATTCTTTGTTTAAAGTTAACGTTATTATTCCGGCCTAGTTTCGAGCATCTTCTGACCGTATTCCACAATCATTCGTTTCGTTGTGTTATAATTTTGTTTACTGAATCGATAAAAAAAGTTTTTTAATATAGTAACAATCCTGCTTTTCTTTGTAATAGTTGTATTAGGTTGTACACTTTGCTTTTGCGTTTTGCGTAGGAAAATTTCAAAGTGTCACAACTCACTTCAAACTCAACATATTCATTTGAAATAATCACCGGTGGAATCCAGACACTTCTGCCATCTAGATACCAGGTCGTATATTCCTTTGTGGAAAATTTCCGGATTTCTGGAAGCGACAAAATCCTTGAACGTCGTTTCGACGACTTGGTTTCTGAACTTTTTATTCTCTATATAGTGATCCGGATGCTTGAAAAAGTGATAGTCGGTTGGGGACAGGTCGGGTGAATATGGCAGATGAGGAAGAGTTTCCCAACAGAGTTCCTGCAATTTACGGGTAGTGATTCTCGAAACGTGAGGACGAGCGTTGTCGTGCTGTAGGATTGGAGTCTTTCTGGTCACGGATACTGGGCGAATTTTTGCTAATTTTTCAAAAGCATCTTGCAATTCGCTACAATACGATTCTGCCGTTATCGTTTGACCCGGTTCCAGGAAGTTGTAGTGAACTACCCCGCGAGCTGTTCACCAAACTGTCACCTTGACCTTTTTGGGATGCTGGGGTGGTTTCGGCATGGATTTCGGGGACTCGTTTTTGTCAAGCCATTGTGCCTAGCGCCGACGATTGTCATAAAGGATCCACTTTTCATCACATGTAATTAAACGGTCCAGAAAATCTTCCTGGTTTTGACGTATGAGCAGAGATCCACAAATTTCCATGCGTTGATTTTGCTGTTGTTCGTTGAGTTCATGTGGAACCCATTTGTCCATCTTTTTTACTTTGCCAATCAAACGAAGGTGGTTGCTGACGGTCATGGGGCAAACACCGAGTTCTGAAGACAATTCTCGAGTCGTCGTAGCGGGATTCGTTTCGACCAGTGCCCTGAAGCGGTTGTCATCGCATGCCACAGGTTGCCCCCCGGCATGGTGATCTTCGAGTCCCTCATCGCTGTCACGGAATCTTGCAAACCAACTTTGTATCGTACATTGTTTCACGGTGTCCTGTCCAAACGCCTGATTGATCCTCCGGGTGGATTCGGCTGCTGACAGCCGCAGGCGATAGTCACAAAGCGAAATTGCTCGAAAATGCTGTTTTTGCATGGTTTATTCAAACACTTGTAAAACAGCCCGAAATCAAAATTTCTCAGCGATCTTTTTTTTGAAACACGGGCCATGAAATGAATCCAAAGTTCACGTAAGAACATAACTGGCGCCTACAGTATCGATTTGAATGCCGCAAAAACCACAGAAGCAAAGTGTCCAACCTAACATTATAATTTTGATTATTAAATTTGTCGGAAGCATTCAAATTCATAACTGGATAAGGGAAGTTAAGTTGCGGGCCGGGAGATATTAGATGAATTATGTAACGGTTTGAAGGGCTCATGACTCTGATCAGGTAAATTTTTAGTCTGCTGAACGACGTCTGGAATCGAGTTGTGAGCCTAGATCTTACCCATTCTTATGACCCAGTTGTTGTCTTTAAAGCATTGAGTACATCTAATTTACTGAGTCAGCGCAACTGATAAGGCAATAGTCCATCCAAATGATGGTTGAAAGTTCTAATAAGGATGAAATGAAATACTGAATCGAATTTAGGGATTAATACTTGTCAAAAAACATTCGAAATGAGATGTAAAGATCTGTTGAACCTTACAAACTCTTCGGCTTATGAACGGAGTCCAAATACGGCTACAACAATTAAGAAAATGATGCACAGTGAAATATTTGTTATAATTCAACAATTGTAGTGATGAAATGGACGAACAGTCTATCTCTTCGAAAACGTTTCGATGTTCACAGCATAATCGGAAATCAGAATCCGTTTCCGAAATCAGAATATTCTGATTAAGAAATCCGTATTTCTGTTTCAAATTAAGATGAACAATTCGTTACATTTTCATGCTCACTGTATAAATCAGTGCAGTCGGTGCTCTCATACTCAAGAATCTTTTGGATCCGTGAGGATAACGCAGATCATTCGATAAACTCTGTATTATGGATTTTAGCCACGTGTAGAGTATTACTCCAGGTACTGGACAAAAATCCAATTCACTTGCAGACTTCAATAGGCTACTGCAATGATGGCGGATAAATTATTTCTCAGGTAATTCAGTGCTGATAGCTATTAGAGATTCGAGTCCACCAAAAACATATTCAATATCCTTGGAAGAGAGAAGAAAGACCATCAGTGAGAGACGGAACAAATCATCAAGGGGAAGTTATCGCAATTATTCTCAAAACCGCCAGACTGTGAGGAATCGAATCCCCTTAAGAAATAACTAAACGATGTGAATGTGATTCTGAACGAATACTCTATTTCCAAATTTTGGTCTACTCTAAACTCTATGAGCAACCCATCACAGAAATTATTTACATTTCACGTCTCCAATAAAACTTTATACTTGGAGGATTTGAGTCGGGGATACTTTATATTATTCATTCAGCAATTTTGTTACGGTTGTTTTCAAGAATTTTGTTATTAAAGCGATTTTCTCATCAAAGCAATTCGATTGCATAGAAATTAAATATGTTGAACGTCTCAATTGTATCAATCATCCTTTCACATGCGTCTCTTCTTGATTCAAGCTGATTATGATGTCAGTGAATAACTTCATACAGAAACAATCAGATATCATTCCTGATAAATCGTTATGCTGTAGTATCCAGAAAGAGCAAAAGTTCCATACCAGATCTTTTTGATGATATGATTTTAAATAGCTGATCAGGGATCAAAACTTTTTACGGTGATGTGCTCTCAGTACACTGGAATTTCGCAATAAGCTCCTGAATGCACTGTGTCAAAAAACGTCAAACGATGTTTCATGCATACAATGCTATAAACACGCACGTGTACACCTACGCACGCTCTTATTTGGGGTATGACACCCGAGATCCATGAAACCTCTGCATTTCAATTTTTCGTATATTCCCATGCTATTTTCCTTCTCACTAGCCGTCACAATGCCATTTCGACAATTCTCGGCCATCTAACGAAAGCAAGCTTCTCACCTGACCATCGATTTTTAGCTCATCTAGCTCTATCGAGATGTCTTAATTCATTTTCAATTCAGTTACAAAGATTATACGGCAGCTTTCATTTAATTTTCATTGAATTCATACATATTAATTTCGATCGAATTTCTTTTTTCGTTGGTAATCTGAGAATTTTGTTGATCCGAGAATATTATCTCGCAGGTGATATCCATGCTTCATGTTGCATTTGCCGATAGGGTCAATGCCTCCAAAATTGCTGCGTTCAAATGATATTCTAAAATGAGAATTTCATCGTGAATAAGCGCTAAATGAGCCGCGATCATTAGAGATCCATATTATCAAAGATATCTCAAAGTATCCGCGCTTACGATTTGCATCAGTCACCATCAGTTTACTTTTCTGCGCATGATCTCCGATATACTTTGAATACAGGTTATTAACATGGTGAATCCCGCACTCTGGTAATATCCAGTGAAGACGAAGAGTAGATGGCAAGTTCAGAAAATGGCCTTTTTTGAATGAGTTGAAACTGATAATGGAATTCTCTGTGATCGAATACAAACCTATTCTTTCATTGGGGGAATAAAACGTTCAACTTCAGTGTCTCGGTGAAATTGGCTGATGATCACTGGCTTCAGCTGGTGGGCATGAGCAGTGTCCGTTACATCGGTCACCATGTCTTGAACGTTCCGTTTTATTCGAAAGATCTTTCAGTTGTACCTACAATCGAATACATGATGATAATATAAGGAAGAAAATATCGTTAATGGGATAGAAATTAATAATTAGTAATAAACTTGAAGGTATAATGCAAATATCCTTCTGAACAGGTTATTACAATTTGGTTTCATATATTACCATAGGCAACATCCCACGTTATTTGAGAGATAACTGTAAAGAATAATGACTGCAAAATTAGCAAAGACAAATAAGATCGGCACTGAATAAGAGACACTGAACTGATGGTGTACGGCAGGCATTAGCAACCCTCGGCCCGCGGATTGCCGATATAAATTTTGGCTCGCGGTCAAACCTGCTTGCCGATGGCTGGTGTACGGTAAAGATGCTTACTACTAGGATCACAGCAAATAATAAGAGAGAACAGAAGAAATTTAGCGGGCAGGAACCTAACGGGCGATATCTGATTGGATAACTGCATTAGCTTATGTTCATAGATGAAATCAGTCAAGTGCCATTTAAACTGCTAATTGATGATTAATTCTTTCTGACCTCCTAAAAATTCATCTTATGTTAAAATGAATATTATTTGAATGATGATGTATTGAATGATTAGTTGTAAATGCGATGGATTGCGAGGTGAAGAATAAACGATTTTATGAAGTGGCGGCTCAGTGCCTAGGAAGAGATGTAGATGAGAAACTAAAAAGGTAGAATGAAGCCCCGAGAATTGAAAAAAAAANAAAAAAAAAGATACTTCAAGTCTAAGACAGAATTTTTTGACTGAAAATATGCTTTTATTCGTTCCCAAAGAGAGAGAGTTATACACTTGATGAGATAAATCACTACTTGAATTATTAGTTTTCGATAATGCTGTTTCATTTACTTAACGATTGTTGGTGGGTTTTCTAACTGATACGTACCAGTATAATTTATGAATTATACTAGTCGTTCTCTAGCTTGCTGCATAACAATGCAGTTCAAAGCAGTTTCATTGAGTGCTTATCATTACGATAGAATGAACGTGTTTATCGAAAAGCTAATTGACCATTCCAAGCTAGAGAAAGAGCAGAATTATTTATTTGATTGTCTGGTTTCAGATATGAAATTGCTAGTTATGATCATAATCACTATATGGTTGAGTGCCAAAGTTGTTTGAAATGAGAATTGGATAATGTCACCTAGTGAGTTGTTAAAGTCGTTTCATTTCTTTTTATTGTCTTTAATGTGATGTAAGAGATTATCTTTAAGTGTGATTAACTTGAAGTATGTTTAACGGATGAATTGTATTCTGTTAAATGTATCGTATCGCGGATAATCCTACCATACGGAACATCGCCTCATACGAACAACACCAACAGGATGATACTGTCCACTCGGAATTGGAAGAACGTTGCCCCTAATGACACTAAATCCAACAACAGCTGGTCAGACTCTAATCATCATTCCCTCCATCATTTATCCACCCAGTTCATTATCCAAAATATCGATAACCTGGTCTTTTCCAGTTTCTTCCCGATGATCATCGTCCATATCCATCCGGCCCCTCAAAGGGTTCATTGCAATGTCTCAACGATGAATAGGTCTCACGTTATTGCTCTCAATGATGATTGCTGGGACTCATGTAAGAGATGATTGGACAATGAGCCAGCCTTGAAGTGGAAAATATCCAGGAAGTTACTCTGCCAGTTGTCATCATCGGACGGTTCAGCAGATCAGCACACCGGTGGTTTTGATCTTATGATAACCATTCCCTAAAAATCCCGATCACGGATGCTGCCATACGATCATAGACGTTATCACAACCAGATACCAGAACAGTCTGAGCTTCATCATGATAAATACCTGTCGTAATCAAGCGAGAATCCTCCACCGTGTCCCCGTTCCCCCACATAAACCCGTCAACCCAGTATCAGCCTTTCATCAATATGTCGTCATCGCAGACGAGAAATCACCAAATTAGAGCCGACAAAATCAAAATTGAACGAAAAATGAAAAAATAAAAATAACCATATGCAATATTAAAAAATAACAAAATAATCAAAAAATAATATGAATGAAAAAAAGAAAAATATAAAATAATGTGTCTTTTACGCTCTATTACGTAAAATCGTTTGTAANCAAAATTGAACGAAAAATGAAAAAATAAAAATAACCATATGCAATATTAAAAAATAACAAAATAATCAAAAAATAATATGAATGAAAAAAAAGAAAAATATAAAATAATGTGTCTTTTACGTTCTATTACGTAAAATCGTTTGTAATATGAATTGTTTTTTTTCCTATAATAGCGATACGATTGTTGTTTACTCTTATATATCCATTCATAATATACAATCTAAGATTTATGTATAGAATTTTTTGTATTTATTCTCCTTCTACCTATCGCTCTTAATGGCAGTCAATTGAACTTTAGTTTCTCGTGAAGAACAAGGAGGATGAGATAGCAATGGAATATGTTATATGATACGTTAGCAATTGATGTTGTTATACAGTAATATAAAGAACAAACAGGGGAAATAAAGTTGAAGGTTAAGAGATCAGAGAGAGGTTCAAGACATGATGATCGAGCTTATAATCACATCTTATACCCATTTGTTGAACTCAGTAACCAGAACATATTAAGGGAGTGTGGTGAATAATTAATATCTACAAAATATTACCAGACCATTTAATCGCGAGACCTTTTCTGGGAGCAGCTGAAATATTCAGTTCGACTCGTTCGAAAGAGACATTTCAAAATACCTAGATGATGGAAGTTGAAACTTAGCGCAGCCTTGGATTATGTTGGGGACCTTGGGAATAGTCAGAGATAAGTCGGGCAGGAATTGTTTAAAAAATGAATTACATTTGAAGATGATCTCAAGGTGATGATAGCAATAAGCATTATTTGATTGTAATAAGACAATGCTAATGAATGATTTTTAGAATAGGAATGATAGGACAAACAGAATATATATTTAAGAATTGATTGGTTTGGATAGTCTGCAGATAAAATGAATGATTGATACAATGAGACGTGTGTATGAGATGGCTAAAATGAAATCAGTTTGAATAAATAGATGCGGGAACTCTTCTAGCGCGTACTGACCACTTTTGGAACGGATCGCACCGTTGTTCAAGAGCGAGCGATTTCGGGGTATAGAGCGATTCCGAAGGTATTATACCGTGATGATCATGACTTTCATGCATTATAAACGATACACGAGCAACTATCTGGATAATGTGTGAGATATCTTGCCGAAATCCTCTCAGATTAAAGAAGATTCTCCCCTTCACCAAAACACTTATGTAACCTTAAGATAACCATGATAATGCTCAGTGCATCATCTCGCTGATAGTCACTAACCAATTGAAATATAATACGATATAACTGCATGTTATTACTATGACATTGCATATATTATTATTATTATTATATTATTATTATATTATTATTAATTATTATTATTATTATTATTGCTATTAACGTTGTTATTATTATTACTTATTAACATTGTCTTAATCATTATTATTCATTCTTATTTTCATTTATTATTATATTTATTATTATTATATTATTATTACTGTTATCATCAACATTTTTGTTATTACTATTATTGTTATTATTATCTTTTGTTAATATTATTACGATTTATTGGTACTATTTTACTTATTATTATTTATTCTTATTATTTATTATTATTTATCATTATTATTGTTTATTCGTACTATTATTTATTATTATTTACCATTATTATTATTCATTATTATTACTACTATTATTGTTTATTTTCATTATTTTTTACCCTTATTATTATTCATTAATTAATTATTATTGTTATTATTACTATTATTGTTATTAGTATTCGATCAGGTAATTCAGTGCTGATAGCTGTTATAGATTCGAATCCACCAAAAAATATATTCAATATCACTGGGGAGAGGAGAAAGGCCATCAGTGAGAGATGAAACAGCTCATCAAGGGCAATTTATCGCAGTTAATTCTCAAAACTGCCAAGGACTGTTTGTGAGGAATTCCCTCAAGAAACAACTAAAGGATGCAAAAATGTTCCCGAATGAACACTCTATTTTCAAATGTTGGTCGTACTCTAAACTCCATCACAGAAAGTGTTCACATTTACGCCTCCAATAAAAGTTTATACTTGAAGGATTTAAGTTCGATTGAACGAATCAGCTCATTCCAAATTCATTATTATGAGAAATTGTGCATCACTTTCGACCGGAATCCTCTGTTCCTTACAGATGCTGATTACTAGAACCCGAAACCCCCCGTTTTCCCCCAATCATCACCGTCAAAAGCCGTCAACTCCCTGCGTGGTCAATCTTCTCCCACCCCAAATAATCTCCGTTTTGCACTGGAACCACCAAAAAACCACGTTTCCAACCCTAATTACCACAAATTTTATCGCACAAAATATAATAAAATAGAGCTGTTTAAGAGCGGAATAGAATAGAACAGAACAGAATATTTTACGAAGAGAGTGGTATAGAGACATCACCAGTCCCACCTTTCACAGATAATTATTCCTATCGTAAACCATTTGCTGATTCTATTCTAATAATACAATTGTTGAGAATAAGGCCAGCGCTGATGAACAGAAGTGGTCCGATCCTTTTACAGCAGTGGTTCCCAACCTCCTTTTGCTCCGTGATCCCCTAAAAAATTTCAAGACGCCTCCGGACCCCCTACCGAAAATTTTAAGACGCCCTCGGACCCCCTGAAATTAAAGACGGAGAGTAGAAAACTGAGTTCGCAACCCGAGGTGCCACCATGCACAATATTAGCAATGATGATGAGGCGGGCGCTGTTAGTGTGTTTGGTTGTTTGCCTGCTTATCCACCACACTGGATGTCTGTAGTTTAGATAAGTGTATAAAATCGGAGTGCGTTCAAAACTTTTCAAAATATATGCGTTCAAGTTCATCCTTGTCTACTTTACACCCATGAATGTGTTGAACTCCGTTCTCGCCCACTTTAATGGATAAAAAATAAAGCCTCATCTCGACCCCTTCTCGCGCCTCGCATCGCAGCCACTCTTCAACCCCTCTCACCCCACCCTCTCTCGGACCCCCTAGTATGCCGTCTCGGATCCCCGGTTGGGAAACCCTGTTTTACACGATAACGACAGATCACAGGTTGCAAGGAAGACGTTAAAAAAACTCACCAATTAGATTTTGAGATTCTACCTCACCCGCCTTACTCTCCAGACACTCCCCAACAGATTATCATCTGTTCAAAAACCCGGAATTTTTAGTGCGTGGAAAGAAAATCCCAAATGTGACGATACTAAAAGCTGACTTTGATTCCCGGTTTCTTTGCTGCGGGGATAAAAGCAGTGGTATAGATTAGGTAAGAAGTCGATAGCTATCGCGACAATATAGTGATGTGAGTGGAAGTATTACTTTCATCTTAGAAACGATCTTTTTACGCTTAAAATTCGTAGCTTTTGAATCAGCATTCGTATTAATTTGTAATGATTATCGCAGAAAATTGAGATGACGTCTGAGATGTGGTGTGTGTGGTCCTGTGATAATATTCATCAACTGGCTATTTGTTTTGTTTTCAGGCGATTGCTGATCGCAGTTTAAGTATTATTTGCGGATATGTGTATTTTGTTGCGTTTTTATCAATATGGTCTCTTTATCGTATCAGTACAGTGAAGCGATAAAAAAGTAAGGAAATTTTCGTTGTGGAAGATAACAAAGCAAAAGAACGGTTCAATTTTATCGCGGGCACTTAATGAAAAATTGCAGCAACTAACGACAAGTTTTTGAACGAAAACGCTGCTAATATCACAGTTTTGATGGAATTTTTTAGTTGATTAAACTATTATTAATTAATTATCTGTCATTTTTCGAATTATTATAAATAATATTTGAATTGTTCAACAGTTTCTTTCTAACTATAGGGTTCCC